TCCCCACAGCATGATACTGCCATCACTGTGTTCCATTGGATATTCAGGGAACTCTTCCCAAATTTATTAACTCTCTAATCACTTTTCTACTTACTTCTTCCATTAAGTCAAGATTCTTCCATCATTTATCATGTTATGGACCTCCTGCCTTCCAGCCTTCTGATTTAGGTAGAAAAAAAAAATATTTTGGTGAGTTGGACTTAAACCATTTAACTAAGGATAGCTGTTTTCATTAGATAATATAAAGGTGTATCAGGGCAAATGAGAGTGATAGATCCATACCATATTCTTCATCATTTGTAATCATGCCACAGTTTAAAATGTTTACAAATCACACTCTATGAAATGGAATTAAAATAGACTATTTATTCAGAGGAAAATTATTTCTAACATTTTCAGATTTTTAATTGGTTTTAAAGTATTCTGTTTGATAAGAATGTAAAAAAAAGAAAAAGAAAAAACAATGCCTTCACTAAATAAAAATATATTAGCTTTCCTATAAAGTGTGAGGGTGTTCAATTATCAGCAGATAGATTCAAAAAGGCCATCTGTGCCAATGTTTCTATATCAAAAGCATAATTTGCCAATTCTACAAACTCTGTTGGGAACTTTCCTACCCATTTTCAGGTCCAGCTGACTTCTCTGGTCCATTACTTTCAGATTAAAGTTAAAACCCGTTTTGCACAGTAGAATGTAAGAGTGGGTGTGAGTGGCGAGTTTGGTCTCGGTTCAAAGTCAGACCAAATTACCTTGAGGAACGATGATGAGGATGATGGAGTCCGGCCTTTAAAGCTCAGCTCCTTACCGTAAATCTAATTTAGGAGTTTAAACCAAAAAAGCTAAGTGTGAGCCAGAAAAAGCTCCCTTTTTGGTTGTCAGTGGTGAATAGTGAGCGTTGGAACGATAAAATGGGCCAGGATTAATTAATTCCTCAAATTCTCTTCAACTTAATCCCAAATATCTCACAAAGGCTTAAGGAGTGCAGAAGTTTGGCTTCTAGTGGTGGTTTTATTGACATAGTGAACAGTAAATTTAGAAATCCCTATGGGAACTTAGGTCAACAGTTTACAGCTTGAAGGTGTAAGACCTTAAGCCAAAAAATACACAAAACACACACAAAAAAGAAAATGGTATACATATGAATATTTATATTAAAAAAAACGTATGAATTAGGAAAAAGTGAAAAGTGTGGCATGGCTTTTTATCAAACCTGTCACATGTATATATAGAAAGACGGAAGGACAGACAGACAAATAGATAATAGAGGGGCTATGTGATCTTTTAACATGGCAACTGTTGGTGTTGGATTGGTGATGACAGCATCCCACTATAGAGATACTTTTTTCTAAAAGGGAGAAGGTCGTCTTTTTAAAGGCTTTTAAATGCTTTATAAAGTAAGACTGGCTCTAACCTTTACCCGTCAGTAAAACCTTAACCTTAAACAATCAGAGATTCAATGAAGTAGTTCAGATGAACGATATTGAAGTTAAAGAATTGATCAGTCAAAAGGACTACATCCAACCAGAGCTATTTTCTAAATAAGAATGGGTGAAGATTTTCAGTTTCTAGATGTGCAAAGCTTAGATATATCTGAAACAGACTTCTAGATGTAATTAAGGATGTTATTAATTTTCAAAAACACATATTCAAAAAGTGCCCTCACAGAAACTCAATAATCACTGACGAAGGAATACAGAAATACAATCTACCATAGAATTTCAAAAGGGAAAGAATGCAGCTCTGGTGGAAAGAGTCCACCTATAATATTTGGACTCTCAAACTTCAACATTAACTATTTTAATTTTGAAATGTACCAGTTTGTAAAAAATACTTTAAAAGTTCTTAAAAATAATTTTTGCAAAATTTAACCTTAGTTAACCTGATTTTTGGGGAAGTTTTATGTCACCAAAATTAAGAAGAACATAATTTTCTTTTTGAGTTTTTTAGTTTTTATGGCACTAGTGGCACAGTAGGTTGACATGTATGGAGGACCAATCCCGCCATAATTAAAAACAAATACAGAAATAAATAAATGTTTCAAAAATAAATAAGCATACAACTAATTTCCCCCAAAAATACAATACACAAAATAAATGTTGGTAGAAATTAAATTATACAATGAGACATAAATATATATATCTTTTAATTAGCTTTTTTGTTTATTTGCCTTTGTAATAAATACCTTATTTATCTATTTTCTGTTATATTCTTAAACTTTATTTATTGCATATTTCTTTAAGTATTTATTTATGTGCATTTTTTATTAACAAAAAAAAAATGCGTTTAGTGAAAAACAGACATTTGGAAAAAAATAAATTACATAAGTTGACTTGACTAAACCTATGCTTGGACTCCCATCTCTGCTGATTAATTAGAGAACAGAGCAGGCGGACAATTGTGTTACATGTCAGGCATTTTATTGCAATTCCAATCATTGCCCTCCTCTTCTTTCATACATATACAGTATCACTGTTGTAACATGATACAACCAAATCTTGCTTAGACATTTTATACCTCTATGGCTGAAATATAAATAACTGCATTCATAAAAGACAAATAAGATTGCAAGGTGGTTCATTCAATGACACTCATTGATAATCATTCATAGCCAAGGTTTATGTACAATCACATACATAGGTACATTAATATTTTCATATAAAAAAGATTTACATATATAAAGGCCTTTTAGTATGTGAAAAGCAACAACACATGTAATGTTACCTGGTAAACAAAAAATAACTAAATAGGACAGTTTTACACAAAATAATCCCTTTGTTATGACACCTGAGAACCTGAGTGAACAATATCCTGGCAATCAGAAGTGCACTTTTCTGGTATGAACGTCAAAAAACACAAGTTATTTTCTTCCCTGTGTCTTTACTGCATGCTAAGTAGCTAAGTCGTGGATTAAGACTATTGTGAATTTCCTTTGGTTAAAGTAAGCACACATAAGACACTGATATAGCACCGCAAACAACGGCTCACAACAGCAAAAAGGAAATGGCTTTTTGTAGGTTATGCACAATCCACACATTTTATCTTTCTAATATATGAGCAGATCAGGTCATAGCACCTATAACAGTGGCTAGAGGAGCAAAGCCCTGCACAAAGTATAAAGTACCCTGATTTCTGTATATAAATCAACAAAGATATGGAGAATAGATGTGCAGTTTGGACAGATTTAGATGGAAAGAAGAAGGTGGAATATAAATGGAACATAAATGCAGCAGCATTTGGACAAAACTCAATGCAAGGCTAGTGAGTTTAGCAGACGGTCTGGTCTCCAGGGGCAACTATCCCCAACCCTCCTTCTCATTACATCTCAAGAGTATCTGTAGAATCTTATTTCGGTTTGAGCTTTGTGTTTTTCTTTTATTGTTTCAAGAAGTCTCAGATAAGATAACTTGTTTGGCTAAAAAAATAAAAAAAATTAAAAAAGCTAAAATCTAGCAGTTCTTTAGGGCTGCTGCAAACTGGCTGAGAGGTATTTTAGAACACAGATGAATTTATCTAATTCTAATGTAATATTTAACCTTTCATTTTAATTCGGTTATGAGTTTTCTTAATGACTAAACATATACAATGTATATATATATATATATATATATATATATATATATATATATATATATATATATATATATATATATATATATATATATATATATATATATATATTTCAGTTTCAGTTTCCTATAAGCTATGTAAGAAATAAAGGCCTCAACAAATGGTGAAACATGGTGGTGGCGGTAATATACTTTTGGGAAAATTTGTCCGGCAGAGTTAGAAGAGTTAACCCTTTATAGGGCAAGTTACCATTTTTGATCTCTTGCATACCCCTTGCAAATCGAGTGCAATTTCTTTTACTCTCAGTGTTTTTCATGAATTTCTTATAGAAGCACTTTTGTTATTTTTCTTAATATATACGGGCAAGTTTGCGTTTCTTGTTATTACATTGACGTTCATTTATGCCATCAAAATTCACATATTCTTTTAATGTTACGAATGTAGTAAGGTCTTGTCCTGGATTCCAATAAAACACTACAAAAATTATCAAGAAACTTGTGAAAATACCGGTAGGTGTATTTAACCTTTATTTGAGTAGGTAAACAAAAAAATCTCGCAGTTGAAGTAGCATTTTGATCCTTAAAATCAGATTATTTGATATTATGCACTTCAAATAAGAGACTGCATTTTTGTCTTTATTTTAAATGTAAATTTTCTTATTCCATTTGCAAAGTATCGTACTTACCTGCTCAGTTCAAGAAAATAATGCACTTATTTTAAGAAAAACTGACTTACTTAGATGTCAGTTTTTTTGCAGTGTACTCTTTGATTGAAATTTAGATGATTAAAGTCTTTCACTGAATGCCCTATAAAGGGTTAAACACATATCCACTTCACTCCAAAAAATAAAACCATGTTTCCAGTTCATAATTACTCTGATGTTTTTTTTGTGTGTGTGTGTGTGTGTGTGTCTCATTTGAAATCCTGACAAAAATAAATGTTTAAAGGAGTGTGGATATTTCAGAAACGCACAGCTATGCCTCATATAATTTCATTTTGTGCTCCACCGGTTTAAACCTTTTCTTAAGGTCACTGCCAGAGCTCCACAGCTGCAAAGCTGACCCTGCTAGTCTCCCCTTAATGAACCTCCAGCCTCCTCTCTCCTGCCACAGCAAATGAAAACCAGAATTAACAGCTGACAAAATTCCCACACAGCTGCCTGAACACAGTCCATTTGGCTTCAGACACCTGATTTCACATCTGATCGGTCTCCAATGTAGTGCATCCGATGACGAATAGCAGGGATCTTACATGTAAGACCGACAACTTAAACCTGAAGTTGGCAAAAGACGCGAAGTAGCTCAGTAAGTGAAAGCAGAAGTAAAGGAGGATCAACTTACGCTTCATATCCAGTGGTTAACAGCCATTAAATTCCTGCATCTATAAACCCTGCTTCTTTACAAGTTATTGGCTAAAAAAAAAAAAAAAAAAAAAAAAAGACATAGAAAATGGACACTGCATGACAACATTTTGTCTGGTAAGTTTGCAAAAAAGACTTTTTGACTTAATGGAGAGAAAACAAACACACACATATGGCTGCACTGCATTTCAAAGTTAAATATTTATCATAAAATGTGGAAGGAAAATCTGACTAAACCTGCCCAGATAGCGCACATGTTTAGCCCCAGCTTTTAACAAAATAAATTTAAATTATTTAAAAGTACAAAAATAAATGGCAAGTAGAATAAATAAGGTATTTACAATACTTACAGCAGATTCATTTACACTATACAAACATAATAAGAGGTGACGATGGGATGATTTTGTGTTCCAAGCTGACTGTAGCACCATTGATGAGGATTAAGGTCGCAGAACGGGAACCTGAAGAAAAAACACTAGACTACAAGATAAAAACAAGACATACAATCAGAATTGCTTTAGGAGAATACACATATAAGATCTTCCTAAACCAATACCTATGTGTTAGATAAGTAGAAATGCTGATAGAATCTAAATAATACTGATAGCAATACGTATATTTAAATGTTAAAGTTTCATCTATGTCTCCTGCACCTGTTGTAGCTGTTGATCTACTCCACTGTTACAGACAGAGTGTCACCAGAGGATGGTGTACAATTTCCACAGTAGCCTCCACAGACTCCTGTTACTCTGCTGCCATCCTGTGGACACAGATATAATGACATGAGCTTTCACACGCTGGCTTCACCAAATTCAGTACCTTTTTTAAAAACATATACATTTGAATAGCAGTATCTTAGAATACTGAAAAGCTTATTTATTTCATTGTTTTTTAAAAGTAAAATGAATATGTCATCTTGATCTTTGACATACAGTAATGTTGTATTTGTTTATTTCAATTTCAGCTAATGAAAAGCAAAACTTCAGTTTCTTAAAAAAAAAAGAAGATTCAAAATTAGCTCTTTAGAACTGCAGTAGTAGGCAAAAAATCTGCACTTAATAGATGATCTAGGATCATTTTGTATGACTCACATGACGTGAAGGAGATCAACCTTAGGTTCTGTTGTGTTACAGAAGCCCTGATTGCTACAATGAGAGTCTAGCTTTGATGATTCTTGTCTTCTTCTTGAGTTCCCAGAAAAGATCTAAGCTGGGCCAGGTTTGTGGCTAAGCCTGTTGATGTCATGGTCAGTAAACCATGCTCTTGAATGGTCATAGTCAGTAAAACAAAAATTTGGTTTAGGCTCAGTAGGCATCCATATAGAAGCACAGTCTGCTTTCACAATTCCCTTCTGACTCTTGATCGGGCTTGGCTTTCCTACTGTATTCTAAAGCTGTGGGTGCTTATAAATACTTCTCACCACAACCTTTCCTACTGCTCAATTTTCCATTTATACTCTTGGAAAAAACACTGCGTAGAGGTGTTAAAAAGTATTACTTATTATTACTCAAGTAGAACTATAAATTCTAATGTTTAAAAACACTTTTGTAGAAGTTAAGAGTATCAACTTAAGCTTTTTAGTCAAGTAGAAGTGTAAAGGTACAATTTTAAAATTATTTAAAGTATAAAAGTAAAAGTTATGCAGGAAAAAGATAAGGACAGATGCGTCACTGCAGTACCCTATTAAAAGAACATTTTTCTACAATTCTAGATAATATTTTTCTTAGACTTAATTTTCTTAGTTTTGTAACTTATGACAACAGTCTTTAACTTAAGACAACTTAGTATTTAAAAAGTAATATTATACATTTATGAAGGTTATTTTAAATGATACAAATGTAATTGTATGGAGATACAGATATTGAGCCTTAAAACCAAACATAACTGAAACAGAATCCTTTATATATATTATTTTCTCTGGATTTGGATCCCAAAAATCTTTTTAAACTGATCCTGAGCTGCAATCTACAAAAATAAGTATTGAGGAATAAAAAAAGAGAAAACAAGAAAAAAAAATCCTGAGATTTTTAACCAAATGAATGTGACTCTAAGGAAATTAAAACATTTTACTATGTGGGAAAACTTTTGTCTTGAATGTAACCTGACGTATGCAGGCCGATGTACCTGGGATTTCTGGATACGGGTCACTGCATAGTTCCCATGGGTGATCCATGAAGTGTCTTCAGCCACCTTGAAACCTGTTCCTGACAAGTTGATCCTAAACTGTCCCTAAAAGAAAAGAGACACATATACAGTGTAAAGTAAAAAAAAAACACTCTCTACTATTGCTACAGCTTGTTGGCTGCAACATATTGCTGCAAAGGCAATGACACCAAACAAGCGACTTTCCACTTGAGTGAATCCAATTTAGGGACTCAGTAACTTTTTAACCATTCTGTCAGCATGATTTGATTGATTTGACTCACTAAGGCGCCTTGAGATAATGTGTAGGGAATTGATGCTATGAAATTAAAATTAAATTGATTATTTGTATCAAGGAGGTAGTCATTCGGGGGAGGTTATAGTAGCAGATTTGGGGAGTATTAGTAGAAGGGCCACACCCAGGGCTCAATTCATGCACAAACCATCATGCAGGCTTCTATTTTGAGATGTTAACATGCAAGAAGTGAAGTGTAAGCCTTGGAATCCAAAAATAAATGTTAGGAATAACACACCAAATATGAGTTGAAGGACAGGTAAATGTAAGGCAGAAGCAACAGGGAGGTGGGCTGACTTTGGCTTCATGACTTTGCTTTCCTGTGAAAGTGTTAGAGGTTTGATTGAAGGAACAAAAGCATAATTCCCCTGCATCATCCTACAATAGGTGGAAGTGTCCTTGCCTTAGGACACAAAGTCCCTTGCTGCTTTTATGTTGCTTTGCATAAAAGGACCTGCTGAACGTAAAGTCACATCCAAAAGAAGAAAGAAGTTTAGATGACTCTCTCCCTCATCGCCTTTGTTACAAGACTGCAGTTATTCTAAAGACACCAGCGTCTCTGTAACAGGATTCATGCCTTATTTAGAGGCATAAAGATTCAATACAAGTCCCTACTGCTGCTGACACTTTTAGGTAATGTCTCCATAAATTAACAAGGTGTTCTGTTTTGATTGTTTTAGATAGAGGTTTCTGCAAAATAATTCACTGCAACATTACAAAGGCTGGGGGTTTAGTTCAGTGTATGCAGCTTAACCTCACCTGTGGACAGTTAGCCAGGCTGTAGCAGTCTCCAGCTGCAGCAAATGGAACCCTCTGGCCTTTATGGGTGACAGCAAACCGCCAATCTGTAGCTGCACGTCAGGAAAAAGCAGAAAAGCAATAATGTTCCAACTCCTTTTGCTATGATGATCCTAAATCAATTGTAACCAGATGTCTTCAGAAGACATCTGAGAAGTTGATTTTATTACATTCAGGAGAAAACACCTTAATGAAGATCAACGGACACAATTCAATTCAGTTTATTTAGCGGATTTTCCTAACACAAGTCACCTCGATGCACTTTACAGAGACAATACTGTCAGACTCGTTAGGAAAACTAGCTGATTGCATTCATTCATTGACTTGCAAGACATGCTTCTCCTGAAGGAGCTCTTGGCAATGATTTTTCCTTGCATTTTGTCATTGAATCTTTAGTAATCCCTCACACCAAGAATGTAGTGACAGTGGAGAGGAAAACTCCCTTTTAAAAGGAAGAAACATCCGGTAGAACCTGGCTGTGAGTGGACATCAGTCAAGGCCAACTGGGTTTCAATGAGAAAGAGGCAGACATACAAAAAGAAGCAAATATGCAAGCTACAACAGGTGGCTCTGTCCAAGAAAGACACAGCCAGGTGGACAAACTCCAAGCCAATTCTTCTAGTTACAATAAAAGAAACAGGCCAATCTCCAACACAGAGGATAATTTAGTCCAGGACGACGTCACAGCCAAACCAGAACAGACCAGATGAAACTACTAGGATGTTGAAAAAAGCAGAGAGACAATAAAGTAATGAGTGGAACTTGACAAATATTTTAGGGTGGGAGAAGGGACATAGAATGAAGCAGAAATGTGTTCCCTATGTGATCCAGCAGCCTAAAAATATAGCAGCACATACAGAAAATAAGTCAGGATAACAAACTATTTTGGATGACGTATAAGAAACGTTGAGCCACAACAGGGCCAAGACAGAGCCAAGGATTAACATCAACTGGACTGAAATTATCCCCTGCTGGATTAGGCTGTTAATGCTCTACCTCTCTATTCACACAGTGACTAAGCAAATATCCCTCTGTTCTTAAATATAAGCTTGATCAAATGGAAAGTTTTAAGCCTAGAAAAGTAGACAGACTAAAACTGGTAGTTGGTTCCACAGGAGAGGAACCTGATATCTGCCTCCCATTCTACTTTTAGAAATTCTAGGAACCACTAGTAACCTTTCAGATTGAGAGCGAAGTGCTCTGTTAGGAAAATAAAGAACAAGCATATCTCTGATATAATTTGAACTTGTCTATTTAAGGCTTTATATGTGAGAAGGACAATTTTAAATCATATTCTGGATTTAACAGGAAGCCAATTGAGATAAGCTAGGATAAGAGAGATATGATCTCTCTTTTTAATTTTCATCAAAACTCCAGATCAACTGAAGGCTTTTAACTACAGTTTGCTGAATTACAATATACAGCCATGAAGTAACAAATGCATGGGCTAGTTTCTCAGCATCAGCTCTGAACAAGATATTTCCAATTTTTGCAATGTTTCGGAGATGAAAGGAGGATATTCTACAATCCTCTTTGATATGGCATTCAAATGACAAGTCCTGATAAAAAATATCAACAAGATTTTTTACTCTATTATCTGAGATAAAATGAATCCCATCCAAATGAAGTGCCTGACTAATCAGCCTTTTTTCAGAGACTCTGGTCCAAAGACTATAACTTTTTTTTTGTCTGCATTCAGGACCAGGAAGTTAAGAGTCATCCAGGATTTTATGTTTTCAAGACATGCATGTAATCATCTGGATTTATATACAGATATAGTTAGGTATCATCAGCATAACAGTGGAAATGCTGTCTGATTATTGTACCAATTGGTACCAACTTGTATTTGTTTTGTCTGGCAGTGTTACTGCTACCTTCCTCAAAGTTGCTTAGTACCAGTGTTTGCCAGTTATGCTACTCTGAGCCCCCATAGAGATACTCTCTGGTTCTTTTCCTGTAGACAAACTTTTAGTAATTGACTCTCATTGTCTGCCTTCTCTAACTTGTTTCCTCGGATCCTCCTACCTCTTTCTCTGGTTTTCTGGATTCTCTCTCGTCGTGATGCTGTAGATTGTTACCAATTGGTTGCTCTAGTCCCTCCATCAACTCCTCAGTTTGATCACAAGCAGTTCCTGGATTCTCCAGCTGGCAGTCGTTTCACTCCTCTTTCCTCCTCCAAGCCTGAGTAAACCTGTCCATCCTCCACTGCAGTCTCCACATTATCAACCTGAACTCACTTAGTGGAAACCTCTCTCTGAAACCTGGACGCCCACAAAGGAACCAAGACTGCAAGGCACATCCCCCTCCCTTCTGGGGGAAGGAAGAACTTCAAGCCAAGTGAGATCTGTTTGTTAAACTCCTCTCAAAGATTCTACTGCGGACAACCTCAATATAATCCTCTCCCCTTTTCTTAGTGATGATGAGATTAAGCCTCATGAGGTGTTAAACTATTTGGTCAAATTGCTTCAAGGATCCCCACAGTTCATGAATTTTCATGGAAACATGTCACCTCCTACGGGTGGAGTGCAGAACTACAGTTTATAAAATAAAATGTGATGTTTGCAATTGTTTTCTTGTTTTATTTTTTCAAATTTAGTTTCCTTTGAAATTGTTTATGATTGGTGTGTATAATAAAATCTTTTGTAAGTTTTGTGAGTGTAAAATGTCATAGAAAATAAAACAATTGAAGGCACACTGCTTTTCTGACACTGTAGTGAAAAAAGCTCAAGCAAACTGAGAAAGTATTTGTGAAAATAATTTGTGCAATTTTGAGCAAATTGAAAGGTGTTACAGTAGTCATTTTTATTCAAACATTATAGTTTTTTTCCCCCAGTTTTTGGTTTTAATCCAGTTGGAATTTATATCTTCAACCAATCTTTTAGCTATACCAACTAATCTAATTTGGCAGTCTTTATACCCAATCCATATTTGTACTACTGCAAACCACTACAAATTAGTCACATGAGACAAAATACCAGAGTATTACTGCAACTTTTAAAAGTCCAAAGTGGATCTCGAACCAACAACCTCAAGATTGAAAGTCAATGTCTTACAGCTGACACCACTAACAATAGTAACTGCACAACAGAAAGCAATACTAAATTTAATTACAGTTGTAACTAAAGTTACATATGTAACCAGTGGCTTGTTCAGATTTTGACATTGATTGATATAACCAAAATTGTTATAACCAACTAGACTGGTTGAAAAAAAAAAAAAATCTAGTCTTAGAATATATCCAAACTTTATCCGGCTGACCGCAACTCTCCTAAAAACTCCAGCATCTTGACTCAGGCCTCGACTCCTCAGCTCATCTCATAACATCACTACTTTTTCTGCTCAGCAGTTGGCAGACGACTCCTTGAACCCTCCCTTCAAGAACCCATAACATTCACTAAACTCTTTCAACTGTTTAAATAAACATTAATCTGATTACCTGTTCTCCTGCGGTTCTGCATGTGGGTTAAGAAACTGGAAACCAACATGAAACATATAGCACAGTCTTATTTTCAGACTTTTTATCTGACAATAAGAAAAAAAAGATAGATGTCTTTTTATATTATAAAAAAAACATATAGGAATGTTTTTCTTGCACCTAATGGAAACCTATCTTTTACAGGTAATAAAAACCCTTTGTTAGATTTAGATCATGTTCCATGCAAAGGTAATATTGCACAGTTAGGATTAAAACTTTTTATAAATATCTTCTGTTAATTACACACTTTTTCTCCCCTTTATAATATTCTTGTTGCATACATTTCTAATAATATAGACATTTTTTTCATAATGAAAAAAAAATTGAAAAACATAAAAGAATATGAAGATTTTGTTTTGTACAGCTAGATTTTTTTGCAGCATCACTTCATTTCAGCTGCAGTTTTATCTTAGCCTTAAGATCACCCGCTGCTTAAACTGCAGACATGTTGATCCCATTAACCCTCATAAACCTGGACACAATTAAAAGGAAAAGACAGTCCTCATTTGAAATAATGCAGAGTAAACATTAGCCCTGAGTGCTGCTTCACATGTGTGTAAGCAACTTACTAATGATGTTCATTCTTCTCAGGTCCAGGCGGACTTTAGAGAAGGTGGTCATGCCTGAGGCGATGTAGTCTCTTCGACAGTCACAATCTTCTCTTCTAGAGCCATTGGCGGGGCACTGAGTAGGGTCATTGAGTCTGGGAAACACAGAAAAAACCTCTGCTCAAGTTGATGTCAGTGGAATTTACTAATTTTATGAGAAAACCACAAGAAGTCAGCTGGATTTCAGTTCTAAAAACAAACAGCTCTCCTTGTTATCCTGTTAGGCGTTCACCTGAAGCCAAAAATCTCAGAAAAGTTCTCCTCTTCTCCAGTCGTCAAGGTGATGTACTCCTGTGGATTCTCTGTCTGCATTCCTGCACAATATACCTGAGGGCAGCAAAGATGAAGGAGGAGCGATGGTCAAGATCAAGGTGGGTGAAGAGAAGGTGAACCAGAGGAAAATGGCAAAAAGGTTATAGAAATATAAAGAGGTAATGGAAAATTACAGAGGGAAATACAAAACTCAACTGGCAAACTGCAAGGACAACTACAAGACTACAAGTTTGAAAGAGCTTCATTCATTTAAAATGATCAGCTATTCCAATCTCTTTCACACAGGTAATTCCTTCAGTATTTTTTAGATTAAAAGACAACATTGCCTTACCTTGAGAGCTTTTCCTTGAACACTGAGAAAGTGTTCACCATCTGGAATGGAACCTTTCATGCGCTGAACCTCAAGACAGCTAGAAGGCAAATTGCCTTTGAGACAAGAGAAGTTAAATGCATAATTTATTAAGTCATGTCTGGCAATGCACATTGTATAAGATAAAGTAAAGGTAGAGAGAGAGAATTCACTGAAAATAATTCACCCAGATAAAAATTATTTCACAGAAAGAGTCTTAAATGTATTGTTCAGTCTGAGCTACAATTACACTGGATTCTGCAAGGATTAAATTGAACCTGATTCTCTAACAATAAATGCACTAAGAAACTGAATTGTAAAAAAAAATTAAAAATGGAGTCTGGTGTGCAATCGCTTGGTTTCTGAAACCAAGGGTTTGACACCCCTGCTACCGGAAACACATACAGGTGCTGTTCATAAAATTAGAATATCATGAAAAAGTAGATTGATTTCAGTAATTCCATTTAAAAAGTGAAACTTGTATATTATATTCATACATTACATACAAACTCATATATTTCAGATGTTTATTTTGTTTAATTTTGATGATTACAAATGACAACAAATGAAAATCTCAAATTCATCATATCAGAAAATTAGAATATTACTGAAGACCAATAAAAACAAAGGATTTATAGAAATGTTGGCCAACTGAAAAGTATGAACATGAAAAGTATGAGCATGTACAGCACTCAGTATTTAGTTGGGCCTCCTTTGGCCTGTATTACTGCAGCAATGCGGCGTGGCATGGAGTCGATCAGTCTGTGGCACTGCTCAGGTGTTATGATAGCCCAGGTTGCTCTAATAGTGGCTTTTAGCTCTTCTGAATTGTTGGGTCTGGTGTATTGCATCTTCTTCTTCACAATACCCCATAGATTTTCTATGGGGTTAAGGTCAGGAGAGTTTGCTGGCCAATTAAGAACAGGGATACCATGGTCCTTCAACCAGGTACTGGTAGCTTTGGCACTGTGTGCAGGTGCCAAGTCCTGTTGGAAAATGAAATCTGCATCTCCAAAAAGTTGGTCAGCTGCAGGAAGCATGAAGTGCTCTAAAACTTCCTGGTATGTGGCTGCGTTGACCCTGGACCTCAGAAAACACAATGGACCAACACCAGCAGATGACATGGCACCCCAAACCATCACTGACTGTGGAAACTTTACACTGGACTTCAAGCAACGTGGATGAAGTGCCTCTCTTCTTTTCCTCCAGACTCTGGGACCTTGATTTCCAAAGGAAATGCAAAATTTACTTTCATCAGAGAACATGACTTTGGACCACTCACCAGCAGTCCAGTCCTGTTTCTCTTTAGCCCAGGCAAGACGCTTCTGACGCTGTCTGTGGTTCAAGAGTGGCTTGACACAAGGAATGCGACAGCAGAAACCCATGTCTTTCATACGTCTGTGTGTGGTGGTTCTTGAAGCACTCACTCCAGCTGCAGTCCACTCTTTGTGAATCTCCCCCACATTTTTGAATGGGTTTTGTTTCACAATCCTCTCCAGGGTGCGGTTATCTCTCTTGCTTGTACACTTTTTTCGACCACATCTTTTCCTTCCCTTCGCCTCTCTATTAATGTGCTTGGACACTGAGCTCTGTGAACAGCCAGCCTCTTTAGCGATGACCTTTTGTGTCTTGCCCTCCTTGTGCAAGGTGTCGATGGTCGTCTTTTGGACAACTGTCAAGTCAGCAGTCTTCCCCATGATTGTGTAGCCTATAGAACTAGACTGAAAGACCATTTAAAGGCTTTTGCAGGTGGTTTGAGTTAATTAGCTGATTAGAGTGTGGCACCAGGGGCCATCAATTTTGAACCTTTTCACAATATTCTAATTTTCTGATATGATGAATTTGAGATTTTCATTTGTTGTCATTTGTAATCATCAAAATTAAACAAAATAAACATCTGAAATATATGAGTTTGTATGTAATGTATGAATATAATATACAAGTTTCACTTTTTAAATGGAATTACTGAAATCAATCTACTTTTTCATGATATTCTAATTTTATGACCAGCACCTGTAGGCAATTAGTAATGCTCACCCATGTGAACTACTAAAGCATGTTTCTTCTGCATTTTTCTTCTGAAAATTGCTTTTGCATGTGCTCTAAAAAAAGTTTGCTCCTTATCCTATCTAAACAGAGGTGTCAAGTACTAAAGTACAAATACTTTGTTACTGTATTTAAGTACACTTTTTAGGTATCTATACTTTACTCCATTACTTATTTTTCTTCCTAATTCTGACTTCTACTCATTACATTTCTTACACAAGTATCTGTACTTTCTATTCAGAAAAAGATGTTGAAATGTCTGAAAGGTCGGACACAGGCAAGAGCGTATTGGGAGATGGAGACGGAGACCAACAAGACCTCCCTCATCCTTGGCCCTAACTGAAAGAATTTTTTGAAATTGTCGAAAAATTGAGCTTTCAATTCATATAGTGGCATCTGGCTGAGTTTTTTTAAAGGTTACTTTATGCTTTTATACTTTAAGTAGTTTTTGGAGCACATACTTTTTCACTTTTACTTGGGGAAAGAGGTCCAGGTGATACAGTACCTCAACTTTTACCAGAGTGTTTTTACCCTGCAATATCTATACTTCTACTTAAGTAACGAATGTGTATACTTTTGACACCACTGCATCTTAATATGACCACTAATGGCAGGAAGAGTAGAAAAAAACCCTGTTCCGTTTGGCTTCATATTGTCTTACACATAAAGAGAAATAAAATTGGTACTGGCAGGTCAATGTTTGTTACAAAAATAAAGATTAGAAGTGAGGTACTAATCTCTGACTAATGGTATCTCTACATTTCATTAATGCATTTCAAATCTTCATGAAGCACTCACAGCTCGGATTACTGCAGACTTTTCTGTTGTCAGGTTCTTCATCCGAAGAACAGCCATTGCCTTCATGTCCATCTGTGGACACACACTGCACTGTCCTCTCCATCACTCCATCCCCACAGCTTACTGAGCACTGAATGAAAAGAACAGCAACAGTAGGGGTAATTTTAACATTAATCTGATTACTTTCATATTCTCCACTAGCAAGTGCAGGTGCAACAGCTTATAAAATTTTTCCAAAAGAAAAGCCTTTGTATTTCTGCTGCAAATTACTCACAGTGAGCTTGGTTTATAAATCCCAGATGTATTACTCCTGGCTTAGGAAAGGGAGGTTCCCTAATGTTTTAACAGGTTGGTGAGCTTTCAGTAATTACAGGTTGGTATTTACACATTTTTTATGTTATAAGTTGCCTTTAGACCAGGAATTTTCCATTTATTATGAATCAAGTTTTAACAGGGCATATTAATGACTGGTTAGCATTGGGTTTGACCGTCATCCCCAGGTTCCACATCCTCTGTCACCGCTCCACTCACGTACGTCCTGCGGAGCACTTGTGCATTAATGTTAACCAATGATAACTGTTCCACATCCACCGCTACTTCTCCGGACATCACTGTCCATGTATATCTTCTCCGTCTTTCACTGTCAAAATACAGAGCCAAGCTATTTTTTTGCTCCACTGCAGTCCGCTGGAAGCCGGCCAGGTCAAGATCCGTAAATGTAATTTCACCAAACGCAAAAAGGAACGTCGCCAAGACCGGGTTTGTCAAAGTAAAATAAGGTAACGACAAATAATAAATACTAATTTGAGCATAAATTTTATGTATTCCCCAAAAAAAAGGCAGTTCGATTGGATGAACACTACTGGTAGTTCAGCATACCAGAAAGCAGCATTTATCTCGATCAAAATATTTATTTTATACTGAAAAGTTGAAATAAAAACTTCCAAGAGCACATCTCACAACTTCAAAACAAAGGCATGGATGAAAAGATGCAGATTTTCGAGGTAGAGAACAAACCAATTTTGTGTGATCCTAGTTATCCTTATTTCAAAGATCAACAATAAAAGTAAAAAGATTGGGCTGAAGCTGCATGTGTGATGGATGCTGATGTTCGGTTTTATTTATGTCATATTAAATGAGGCGTTCAACACTTTAAACTGTTTTCCTATGAGTTAACAAATAATAATATTGTGCGTGATCTCCTCAAGCTTCAAGGAACTCAGAGCGGAGCAATACGAGAGGCTGTAGGCGTTGCTTTGTGCAGGTTGTCTGGAACAGAACGCTGTGGGTCGGTTACGGAGGATGTGGGATTTAGGAGTCAAGCTCACCGGTCCCCAGATTCCAGCCCTCCACTCTTCTGGAGCTGGGCATGGGCCCAGATTACAGGGCATGTAGCTCTCTGGAGGGGTTCCAGGGCAGTTGGACAGAGACTGATGGCCATACTCATAGTTGTCATTTTCCAAATGCACCTCACTGCAGGAGATGAGACGCTGACGGTAGCCCTGACCACAGCTCACTGAGCACTGAACGAGAGAGAGATAAAAAAAAACACAGGTATGAAGGAAGAGCAGTGTGTCTCATTGAACAAAAAGAGGATATCAGCTAAAACAAATGAGAGAGAATGAACTGATAATAACTATGTCTTCTTACCTCTGTCCACTCCCCAGTGATCCAGATTAGTTCACAAGCATGTGTGTTGCAGCTCTCTATGTCTGGCGGACGGATCTGGTTCACACAGTATATTTCATGGACCTCATGCTGGTTGTAATCAACACACTCCAGCACTCGCCTTCGATGGCCCGATCCACAGGACTTACTGCACTGCAAACGGGACAGAAAAAAAAAATATTTCACATTGAATTTGTTTTATTAATTGGTGCAACAATAACAAGTACAGGGGAGGCTGAGAAGGAAGGAGGAGGTTTAGTGTTTTTAGGGCTGAAACAATTAATCAGATTAATCCTGATTAATCAACACTTGAATTGTCAACTAATTTAGTAATTGGTGAATTGGAGCACAAAGACTCAAGCTGACAGAGCAACCAACTCAGAGCAGTAATTATACTAGAATTAATATTTTTAAAAAAACAGGGTTTTGCATTTATGATTAAAAAAAAAGTTTTTTTCTGTCAATATGCTCTATCCAGAACTCCTCAAGTGGAATAGTTTTAGTTTAAACTCTGACAAAAATCTTTTCTGGTAATCGATTAATCCAAAAATAATTGACAGATTAATCAACCATTAGATGCAACGCTAGTGTTTTTACAACACGGAACAAGAGAGCAATATGTCAAACAAAATAAAAAATATCACTCGAGTATCCTTGTTGGGATCCAGAGGCTTGCCCTCCAGAGGGCGCCGAGGATCCCCTCCTGTTGTATGTTTTTCTGTTGGGACTTGGGTTACTGTTGGGATCTGGAGATCTGCCACCTGTCTCCAGCAGAGAGCGCTGTGGGTCTCCTGAGTTGGAGCCTCCAGCACACCTGAGGATCATCAGCCCATCAGGGGACCTCCTACATAAGCAACAGCCAGACCTGTCTTCGTCGCCGGAGTGTTGACCAGTTTTGGTGAGCAGAACCTGATCCTGCACATAGAATCTCTGTCTGCTCTGGAGAGTAACCAGATTCTAACCAGCCTCTGTTTTCTCTGCTCACAGGAAAGCCCGACTGAAGTCTGTAGCTCTGGAGGAGCTTTGCTTGGAAACCTGCCTGCCTGCCCTAGGAAGCCAAACCTGAAGACAATCAGTCTGGATTCCCCAGCCAGCTCTCAAGGGAGAGCTAGGAAATCAACTCGAGGTCTGAACCTCATTAGCCTGAAGCTAGACGCTGCTGCTGAGCTCCCTGCTGTATCCACAGTCTCTGGACCCAACCGGTTCCCTCTCTCCATCGATCAGTCTGAACCTCATCAAGGTACAAACCAGAATCAAAAACCTGACAAGTCATCACCCCTGCCTGGCTAACCAAACTATCCATCTCTGCAGATACTCAGTGATTCCAGTCCCGGACCAGTACCAGAACCTGCTCATAATTATTCTTGTGTGCTTCTCATTTAATAAACTGTTAAACTTTTACTCCGTTTTCTGTGGTGTTCTGCATGTGGGTTTAAACTCTAGAGACCCATCATGACAATCCTTGTTTGTCGTAATTGGGCAGGTGAAAAAAAATTGAGAGCCATGATGGAGAAACTAATGGATCATCTACTGATTTAAATAAAGTAGCTTTTCAGGTACTGTTGTCTAGCTTTGAACAATGTTTAATAAGCAGTTGACATCCGGCTGGATACAGGAGCAGATAACCTAACTCATTACTCAGCTGATTTTAGATTGCTATACGTGTGAGTATGTTGTATCTTTAGCATTTATACAGTAGCAGCTATACAAAATGACCATTCCCAGTCAAACGCCAGCCGAATGGCAGCCCACTTCCCTGCAACTCCCAGTGAAATGCCCTCCAACTTCCAGCCACTGGATTGACCCCCTTAGTCTCCTGGGTGTGCATGTGTTTTTACTCTGACTCCACCCTTTTACTGAGTTATAGGGTCTGACCAGGAGGTGATGCTTTTCCTTAAATCTTAATGTACACAAATAATGACAGACTATTTTAGTACAAAGGTTGATGTTTAAAAATTAATTGTAGGGTCCATCCAAGAACCAACCAAGGGCCCATCAAGGAAAGTGGGGAAATTTTTAATGGCTACTACTGTATACAAAAAATAATCCATACATATTATATTATTTTTGCACCAGTAAGAATAAATGCTTCTTTATATGAAAGTATTAATTTCCTTTTTTTAGTTTTAAATCTGTATATAACTGGTTTAAATAAGTTATGATAATGCAAGTATCTGTCATCAACCTGGCGCCAATCACTGGTTTGATTACTCATTCCATTCACCCCCCCATGTCCACTCAGCTATCATTACCATTCATCTGATTCATCTGATCAGCCTCTGTTTAACTAGCCTTCAACCAGCCATCAGTTATAATGTGAAACATGACTGCTTGTGCCATGCAAGATGTGTTTCTTGAATGCCAGCATGAATGGCATACACTGAAGGTCAGTTTTTCTAAAGCTCTAATTAATCAGACAGTTATTACCCAAATCAAAAGGCAGTAAATAATGAAAGAAGTTTTAAACTTTGCTTTTGTAGAAGTTACTATTAGGTCATTCATGTTGTGTCTTTTTCAGGGTGTAATCTAGCTTGAAGGTAACATCGAGGAACATTTGGAACTGAATGTAGTTTCGGGAACCTTGATATGGATTATAAAACGATGCAATGTAAATTCTACTTACCTTTATATGTAATATTTTAAATTTAAAAGAATTTTCATAAAGTTTCCATCAAGTTTTTTAACATATTTAGAAACTAAAACATATATTAACACTAATTGTCCAGTTAGCCGAGAGTGGTTGTACTCAACTTTTTTTTCCCCCTTTGCCTTCTTTTGATAATGATATAACTATCTCGTTATCACGGTTTAACAATTAATTGTTTTCTTGAGATAATAAGATAAAAATCTCGTTATAAAGAGAAAACAGCTATTGATTTCTCGAGATAAAGATAAGATAACCTGTTTGAGTAATGAATGAGGCTAGCCAACAGCCCTGGATTCCCAGTCCATCCATGCCTGTGGTGCTCGTAGTTTTGCAGTAGGGGTACCGTGTCTGTGCAAATAATTTTTTTAGTTTCCTATTTCTTTTCACTCATTTTCAGGTTGTGGTGGATAATTGGATTGTATGGAATGGAATGAACATCTTTAATCTGGACTCCTTTTAATGCATCTTATACCTGTTACAGGCATAACACCATGGCTGTTCAGAAAACACCCGGCGCTAAGGAAACAGAGTTATAGGTCTAATTGCTTGCAGCAAACCTACAATGTCGCTCGTTACCTAAAAGTTAAACACAGGATTATTTACAGAATTAAACATAGGCTGCCATGACTTATAAATCCTCTCCCAGTGTTGTGGTGTTAAAGAATGTAATCAGTTTTAACACAACCCAATCATCTCGTTATGACAAGAAAACAGCTTTTTAATGAGAAAACTATCATCACGTTACCACCAGTAAACGTCTTTTGTTATCTTTAGATAATAAGAAAATGTACTTGTATTCTCGAGAAGGCCACAGATAAAAAGTATCGACCGACCACTCTAGGCTTCCGTAGTCCAATAACCAAATAACTGTTTTACCAACTACTTTTTTGCACCAATTTAAATCATTTTGAACGTCTAATATTTGTTGCTACTGAAATCAGCTCTAATATAAGGCAATGTTACTTTTACTAAATCAATTTTCTGGCCATCCTACCCAGACCTGCGTTCTGCATAATAACCAGTGTGTGACGTGTTCATAAATTCCCCCAGATTTTACTCCAGAGTGTTCCCGCTCTTTTTGAGAGGAAGAATAACCCCCCACCCTGTCCTCTGCCCTCCCCTCTACTCCTCCTCTCTCAGAGCTTCTCATCACACATTCCAGCCTCCAACGGGAGCGGCGACTCCAGAAATCACGGGGCATAACCATGCATCACAAGGTAAGAAAATGTGTCTAAACTATGTGTTTTGCTGTAAATTACAGCTGTATTGTTTCTAACAGAGAGTCATTCAGTCAGACTTACAGCCTGCCAGTGTCCCTCTCTCCACCGGTACCGGGAGGGACAGTCTGCCGTGCGGCAGCTCTGGCTGGACGGGGGACGGGAGCGCTGGGGGCAGCCGCTCTCCGCGGTGCTCCGGCGGTCACCAACCTGGCAGAAAACCTCCCGCCGCTGAACTCCATCCCCGCAGGAGGCTGAACACTGAAAACAGGAGGTAACACCACTGTCACTTTCCTGTTGAAAGTTTAACTATAAACCCAGACAAACTGAAGAAAAGCTTCTCGATTGCTTGCAAATCAATTTTCATAGTTTATTCTTATTTGTATTATATATTTTTTTTAAATCATGATGAATACTGAACTGTTTTTAAGATATAATTTTTCTTTTAAATGGGAAATATATAAGCCTGACCAAGTAATTATTTTCTATTGCATTTTCTAAAGAGCATGGGTCTTACTGTTTTGAACCACCAAAAATATGTAATTGAAATGTATTCCTTAATACACTATTGTTTTATTTCAATTATTTGAAAATAATTACATTGACCTTAATATTAATATTGATTATGTTATTTCAGATGGGCCATTTTCATTAAGCGGCTGAATTTTCCTTGTTCCGTTGTTTCCAGCCTGATACATAGTTGGTCAATGCGTCTCTTTGGACTTTTTATTTTTCCTTTTTAGAAACAATTTTAAGACAGCAATTTGTGGCTATATTATCATATGAAAATTAATAGTGAACTGAATTTATATAAAGTGATTTAACTTTCCAAACACACCAACCACTTGAAGGGCTTTACACTAGACATATCCATTAACATTCAGTTGAGTGTTTTATGTAACACAATGACGCTGGAATCAAACCCACAACCTTTAGATATAATAAACAACTAGTCTTTCCAATGTGCTATGATGATATTTCAACAAATCTGAGTTAGAGATGTAAGAACCTTTACATACATACAATGCCTTGCAAAAACATTTGTTAGTCATATTTTGTCCTACAGTGTTATTGGAATTTTAGACTGGCACCAAGAATTAATTTTAAGGTAAAGGGAAAACTATAGTGTTTCTAACTTTCTTTTTATAATTAGAAAATAAAATTCTGAGATGTTTGGTGTTTTTAATTTGTGCCTCTTGAGTCGGTAGTCTGTGGAAAAACTTTTAGCTCAAAGTATAGTCTATAAACAGCCATTTTCAGGTCTTTTTCACAGATTCTTAGTTGGCTTCTGGATTTTGACTGGCCCATTCTAACCCATTCATATGCTTTGACATAAATCATTTAATTGTAGTTTCCTCAGTTTGCATATTTAGGGTGTTGACTTACCTAGTCTAGTCTTTTGAAGCTTCTAACAGGTTTTCATCCAGGAGTTTCTTGTATTTAGCTCATTCTCCTATCCAACCTTTGTTACTTCACCTTGCTTGACATTTCCCAACAACCTTATCCTGACCTGTTTGCTGTGTTGCTTGGTCTTCATAATCTTTTTTTTTTTTTAACTTATGTTCTCTCACAAACCTCTGAGGCCCACACAGGAGAGCTGGATTTATACCTGGACTGAATTACTCACAGATGTGCTAAATTTACCTTCTATGTCACTGATGAAGACAAGAGTACTCTAACTTAGTTGCACATTTTATAAAGGATTATTATTAAATAGACTAATGTTTTGCATTCTTCATTTCTCTGATTTTTTTTGTTCAAAAAGATATATATTATTTAAAACATGGATGATTTATCTGCCTTTTTACAATGATCTTCTACTTTGTAAAGACCCATTAAATAAAATCCAAACAAGACCTTTAACTTAATGGTTACAAAATAAAAGTTCAAGCAATATCAAAGCTTTAACGAGGCATTTTAATTGCATTTAGTATCTCTTAGCTCAAAGCGTTGTGAGGACTACCATTTACTCCAGGCATGCGTGCAGCTGCACAGCTGCTTTGAGGAGAAGCACATCCTCCCTTGACGTGTGCACAGCATTTGTGTTTCACTGCCTCAAGCGATGGAGTAAATCCAGAGAATGGGCGGGGGGCTTGCAAAAAGAAAGAAAGATGGAAAAGGCACAATGCAGACACCCAGGTGCATTTTGTTAGTTTGTCTGGGAACGTGACGTGAGAGAATAGCCTCTCGTAGCAGAGTGAGGCGAAAAGACCAACATGTGGTTTCCATCGTGGAGGCACAAGCTACACTGAGGCAGAGGATAAAAGGGACAGAGAGGAAAAGAAGGTGAGGGGCAGAGGAAGAGAAAATACAGGGAAGGGTAGATTTAGTTTGACTGGACTTCAGATCAAAGAGCATTCACATCCCTCCAGCTGTTCAACTGTCTGCGCTAAAGTGTCACAGCCTTGGTCTCAACCTCTGTTTGCATCTGCCCTTGGCCCACCATGCTGTGATCTGTAAAGGCACCCTGTCCTAGTTAGCGGTTGTGCTGCACATGTTTCACACACTTAGAGTTGCAAACAAGCTGGTAAGCATTAAAGTATAAAGAGCAAAGAGGGGGTGCGTGAGAACCAAACGGAGAAGGCTTCCTACCTCTCCCCAGCTGCCAGTTTTCCACTTGGGGCATCTTCCGCCTCGGCATCGCCTCTGCCGGCTGGGTTTGGGGGACAGATGATGACAGTTTTCCTCTGAGATGGAGCGGCCCGATTCGGTCACACAGCTCACCTTACGGGATTTGACACCTCTTCCACAGGAGGCTGAGCACTGCAGCAGGTAAAGAAGGAGAGGACCAGAAATCGTAAGTTATCATTTTTATTTGAGCAATGATAAATTTAAGACCAATGGAAATCCAAGCTATAACTGAAAATAGGTAATCATGGAGAGAAATATGGTGAAATGAACTGAAATGGTAAGTGTTTTAATGATTAGGCGGGAAATAAAATAAGAAGAAAAGACCTGTACCAACATGCCTGCTGACCCGGTTGCAGTTTTTTTATGTCCGGGTTCACCGAGTTACTGGAGGTCTAACTCGGTGTGACAGGCAGGCACACACACAGTAGGGTTACAGGAGGGATTGGAGCTGGGATTGACTGTGCTGGGAAAAATAAAAGGGGGGCGTTTCATGTTGGCGATGGATATAAAGCGACAGGCTCAGGGTTGAACGGGTGCACAGCCCAGCATGCAGCTTTGTCCTGACCAGCAAGAGACCATATTGAACGGGAACTCGCCACAACCTCTTGCCTTGTTCAAGAAGGAGGAAAGGTAGGATTTAACAGAAAAAATACCCTGAAACACAAATTTTTCTTTGCAGATAAAAATAAAAACTATTCTGTAATGCATGTTAAAATTTGGTTCAACTTTGTTGGGAAAATTGCTGAATAAATGAACTCTTAAAAGAAACAGATTTTTTTTTATTAAGTGAAAACATTGAATATTCAATAAACAAATTGTTTTGAATAAATTGTATTTCAACTTTAATAAAAACAACATTTTTGATTGTGTTGCTTACGTCTCTTTTTTTTTGCTTTGCCAAAACTCTGATAAATGGTAGCCAAGGATTAAAAAGAAGATGCTTTTGCTTTTGGTGTCACATGAAGATAAAATATGAATTGGTCCATGAAAATAAACTATTTATATTTTGTTTTATTAAGGGTCAAGCGGTGAAATTGAACACACTAATTGAGTTACTTACAACCTAGTTATACTTATAACATCAAGGCTGGGGCTTTGTTCAAATGTTTTTTTGGCACTAGTGAAAGGTCTCTTATTTCATTAGGCTTCTGCATCCTTCCAATTGGGTAAGGAATCTCCTTTATTTGAAAATATTTAAAAGTTCTGTCATATAAAAAAAAAATATCAAATCAAATATGTCACAAGATACCTATTTATCCCAATTTACTAAGTTAAATTAGCTATATTCTACCTATCATGAAAGAGTACTGGTCCAGGTTGACTTGCTGACACCTCCCTCTATTTCAGCCCTTTTCACCGGCTAACACTGGAGTCTAAGTCACTAATGCACAGCAGACCAGAACAATGAGGTATAGTAAGGTCAAAGCCACCATCATAGAAAAAGCATCTGTGTGTTTTTCGGGTGGCCGAGTACAATAAATGACTTAGGAAGTGTCACAAAGCATGACGGATTGATGGGAATGATTTCAACAGCCCAGGTTGATGTGAATAAGTACAGAATGCACAAATATGTCAAACCAGTTGTGCATTCACTGTTAAGGAGAACTTGTTATATAGATGATTTTTAGGGATGCTTTATTTTTTTTAAACAAAAATCTCCAATAGCTAAATGAGACATTTTACAGACACTTTTTTGCTTTTCAAGATGCAAAGGCCTTATTAAATACAATCATTGATCTTATTCTGTCCTATGATTTATCTGGGGAAGTTTGGGATATACTTCCCATCAGGGAGCTATAATAACGTGCTTCACAGCCAATAATAGTATGAGATAAATCAAGATCAAGATTTATGTGATGGTTCAGGAGGGAACCCTGCATTCATACTTTTTCTTTCCCTGCTCATGTAGCAATGTTAAAATGAACAGCTCAAGATTTTTGAGGAGGGATGAATACAAAAAAAAGCTGATACCACTAATCTAACAGTAAATAGGCACATTTCTTGACTTTTTGGACTTCAAAAAAAGTCAAATCTCAAAAGTTTTAAAGCTATTTAACTAAATCTAAACTTTATGAACTTTTGCACTATCATCAGGTGTGCATTGGCCACGTAAGTGGTAAATTAGTTATTTATGTTTTTTACAGGTAACATAAACATTAAACATAAAGAGAATGAAAAGTTTTTTCCGTTCAAAATTACTACCAACTATAGAAGTTGTTTAAAAATGAAATGCACAAAGTCTATAAAGGTTTAGATTAAAATGGCTCGTTTGATGACTCGATTTCTACACTGAAATTGTTGATCTGACTGGAATCTACATGTTCTGTTCTCAGAATGCACAAAGCTATTAATTATGTCCTTTAGTCTAAATTAGAACCCCAATGCAATGGGGTAACAGGTAAAATATTCCTGCATGAAGTGTTATGATATCATGAAGATTGGAATTTTAAGGATGCAGAAGTGTTCTTTGGTCTTATCTCCTCTCGGATTATCAAGTAGCTTCGTCTCCCTGACCAAATAATCTAAATGTATCCTCTGTAAAGATGCTTATAGAGTTGGTAATGTGCTTCATATATTTATAAGTTTTTAACAAAAACTTTTCTTTTAAAAACTGTGTAAAATCAATTTAACCCATGTTTCCCTTGTTTTTTAATTACCTTTAGTCACTGAATATGACAATATGAGTTTTATTGTTTATTTAAATAAGAATGAAATAAACGCCTTTAATAGTACCTCTACTTCACTTTAATCATGACCTTTTCTGGAAATGCATGGAAATCCAACAAAATCATAAAAAATTAAATATTGACAGCATAATAATAAATGAACAATAAATACAAGTAATTACATAAATATACAGAAATATTCTTGAATCAGACTAATACTGCCATTTGTGAATAAGAGTCATAAAAATACTTATTTTAAGAGCCTGTTAATTATTTGTAGTAATATTTGCATCAAGTACCAAGGCGCAAATTTAGCAAAATGCCTAAACAAAAATTAACAGGGAACACTAAACTCCATGGTGATGTGGGAGTAATACAACCTAGATTTAAGTTGTTTTATTTTGCTACTTTACCATCACATATGGGATTCATTTAAACAAACTTTTCTCATTAGTGAAAAAAACGTTTAAAACAAGCACTCACAGCTCTGTTAACAGGCCCTTAAAATAAGGTGGGATGTCAGTACAGGCATTTATGGCCAGGAGTCAACCAGGTGGTTTGTGAAGCAAAGTTGTCCATAACCACAGATTCTGGATCGTCGCTATTCTCCACAATATGGAAAATAAGCAGAATCAAGGTTACATTTAAAAAAAACTCAGATCTGTGTTTAAGGCCATTGCCTGCACTGGATTGCCCCAACAACTCATTGTTCATCTCAGTGAGCTCAGTTTGCTCCAGTGCAAGGGATGCCAAAGATGGAGCACAGACAGCAATCATGACTGAGTTTGAGGTAGACACATCAGAATTGCTCACATTTAGAGCTCTGGATACAAAACACCAATAGCCTCCACTGTGGTCGCAGGATTTACATGTTCGAAACACGACAATTAGCAAACCATTCCTAATGGTTTAACCATTTACTGTACTTGACTGACAATGATAATACAGCAATACTCAAATCAAATCTGTAATACACTTTGCATTAAACTGACAACTAAAACACTCTTTGCGTTTAGCTGTCAGTACACAAACTTTGCATTGAAAGAAATAAAATACAAAACAGCTGCATCAAACAGCAATGCACCACAAGAGGAACCAAACAAACCAAAAATGTGATCATTTTTATCACTTGTCCCTTATTTGGCAAAAAGCACCAAGGAAGAACACTGTTGTCGTCTGATGGCTAGTTGAGTTGTGTTATGTTTCGAGTGAGGTATTATGGAGTGTAGCACAGGATAATACATTTAAAAGTTCCTAGTTCTTAATTTACAAAGCAAACATCTACATAAAATATTGCATAGAGCAATGTAAGGGCAGAAAGTTTTCAAATTTTTTTTTTGGCCACACTAAAAAAAGCGACATTAAAAATAATCCTAAAAACTGGAATGCAAAAGTTACAGGTTCGAATAATTTCCACAAACTCAGACACATTATTTTACAGTCCTTGCACAGCAGACATAGGTGCTAAAGTACTGATGTTGGGACATTTTAGGCACTTCAGAGTTCATGTGTAATTAAAGGGACATATTTTTCAAGTTCAGTTGTGTTGTGGTGATTATGAACACTTAGCATCTTCACAGCAGTGGAGGAACCTCAGTGAAGAGGAGAATATTAGAAATATAGGAGAATAAAGTTAAGCTGCTCCAAGTTTTAGACTACATTGCCTGAAGGAAAGAGGCAGTGCATATGAGATGTACGTCAAAAATATTATTGTAATATATTGTTTTGGATTAAACAATCCACATGCACCAAGGCATTCAGTTTGGGAATGTTGATGTTCCAAATCAAAATGACCACAGCTGGTATCCAGTAAGCTGTTTGGTCTCTTTAACACCAAAATCTAAAGTGTGTTTCAGAGCAACAATTAAAAGTGCATCAAATTAGGAGAGGCTGTGAGCGTTTTTCTGAAAGTAGGAACCACTGGAAACTTACGGGTTTTGCGTAACAAACCCTAAATAACATATATTCACTATTAGTTACAGTTAAGTGTTTTACAACAAAGCATATTTTTATCCAAACATCATCGGTGGTTATTATGCCAAATGTATATTTAAATAGTTTAAGGTCTTGAGTTTAATGTTCACCCTAAGAATTTTAACCTCCAAATGAGCCCTCCTACTTTATAAAAAATGGAACTTCACAATATTGAGATATAAAAATCAATGTAGCTGCAACATTGATGAAAGCAGTTTCAAGACCGTACTAGACAAGCTACTACTGAGAAACGATAAGGAGATATTTTAATACTTTTCGATCAAAGATCACAATTATCCCGATAAAACGATACAAATATTCACTAAGAAAAAGGTGGCAATGTGGACGACCCAATCTGATCTCAACTATTAGATAATCATTTGGATCAAGCTATTCAGTTCAGAAACTATTTGGAATATTTGTAGGTATTTCTTTTTTACACTACTATATGTAATACATTTACTCAGGCTGTATTTACATCACTTAAACTTCATTAAAACAATGTAATAATAATAATAACCTAATGTTTCTTGATTTTTAATCAGCTGATTATAACAGAGCTCAATCAGTAAGGGCAATTTAAAAAACACTCTTTAGCATATACTTAAAATACATCAGTTTTACCTGTCATTAAAGTTTGCTTTTAAATGCTTGGTGCTCTTGAGCAGCTGTTAGCTTAATTCTCCCATAAGAACTTCCTCTTGTTCTCTACTCTGATGGTTTTAACTGCTCTCTGCTGCAGATGAAGTGTCAACAACTATAGTAGAACCAACTCAGCAGAAGATAAATATGTAAACTGTAAAATAAAGTGCCTTATTATAATTAGTAACTTTGCAAAAAAAAAAACCCTGCATGTCGTAAGACAAACTGATTTCTTTAAAACAGCCATTTTTAAAAGCTTTATAAAACAAATACATCTAAAAAAAGAAAGTACCCACTTGATATCCTATGCTTGCTTCTACTTATAATGCTCTCTAAATAAATGTTAGGATTGTATAGTGAAACCCCCTCATGTTTGAGGATTACGAGCCAATAAATGAATTATAAAGAATATGCATCTATGTTTTTTTTCCTGATATACAAAAAAGTAATCTGTGTTTGCATATGAACAGATTTGCTAAAGGAGAACTTCTGTTATTGGAATAAATGTTATTTACATAAATAAAAAGAAAAAAATAAATTATCTTTAAAATAATATTTTACATAACTAGTTTTGTGATAAAATTTGATCCTGATTTTCTTTCCATGTGGGAACTTTTCTCTATATTTTTTTAGTAAGTATGACTGTCAAAAACATGCTATTATATTCATACGGTCACAGCTGTCACTGAAGCATCTTGTAATATTTCTGCTTCTTTGGCAAGTTGCAAGTGAGGATATCTTGTTATTTAAGTGCAATAGGTATACCGTTCTAATTGTATTAAAAAGGTACTGAACAATCAGCAGAGAGGAATCAGGAAATGGAGTTAAGTGTTATAAAAATAAACAATGCACCTCAGTCATTCTGCTCATTTAAGACTGCTTGAGTTAAAAACTTGGAAACTTGAAAAGATGTGAGTATTGTTTTTGTTTTTTGTTGTTGTTTTATTACGAGCGTACCGAGCTCCATGGGTCTGTGCTCCAGTGAGGGTTAGAGGGACACGGCTGAGTATTGCACTGCTCCCGATCTGGTGGCTTGTCGTGGATCTCACAGCTCAGATCGTTGAAACGCTCACCGTTGGGACGCTGGCACACCACCAACCTGGTCTTTATCCCACCTCCACATGGTTTAGTGCACTAAAGACATCCAAAAACCAAACACATTTTCATTTTAATCAAATTGATGCATAAACCAATAAGAAGTTTCACAAGTAACACAAATGCTTATCATTGCTTTGGTTAAAGAATAGACTCACCTCTCCCCAATTGCCGTAGACCCATTGAGGACATGGACCTGACTCACAGGATCGTTGCTCACTGGGCCGGCTACGGTCCTCACAGCTGTTGGCAGGGTAACCGTTCTCATCCTGACACACTACCACTCGTCGTTGGAAGCCTCCTGCACATGTGCTGGAGCACTGTTGTTAACAAAGAGAACCCAAAATCCGCAGTTAAAATTATTGCAAATATTTTTTTTTAAATGCATGAGTCTAACACTGCTATATCTACCACTGCTGGTACTTGGGCTGGCTTTAGTTGACATGTTTATATTTGTTGGGTAATGTGAGTAAATTCAATATTAATGGACTGTTTTATTCAATTCTGAAGTCAAAAATGTAATATGGGAAAGACATCAAAACCCCCTTAACCGCTTTTCAGGTTTTTAATTAGGGAACAAGTGAACATGCTTCAACTAGCAATACAAGCTGTAATATTAATATTTTTCGGCATTTCTTCAAGCACAGCAGCAGCATCTTCACTAGACAAGGTTGTAAGGGAATTATCCTGTGATTTAATGCATAAAGGGTCAATGAAAATCAGCTTTCACCAAATGTTATGTTTTAAAATGTCTTCATAACAATGAAACTGGTAAAGTGGTATTTGTTATTGTACCCCTTAGTAGTGCTTGAAGAGCCAGAGGATTTAAGCTCATGGTTCTCATGATCAGTGATTATATTTTTAACTAATTTAGTAATACTGCTTTAGTTTTACTGCTTCAGAGTTAAAAAAAAAATTTCAACTTTTAAATGGACCATATGAATACACGGCATAATTCAATCAATTAGGTGGCTGTATTTGTAACTCCGTGACTGAAGAACTGATAATCACAAGAATTACCTGCTATAGTAATGTTATGGGTACATCGAGTTATAAAACATGAGCACATGTTGAAACTAGAGGAAAGAACATTAGGTCTGCTTCTTTAATGGGAGGCAGATCTTTTAGTTATCAGGCTCTTTTCATGTGGAACCAGCAACCAGTTTTTAAGGGTGGCTTTAAAACTTTCCTCTTTGATAAAGCTTATAGTTAGAGTGGCTCAGGTTATCCAGAGCTATTTCTATAGTTATGCTACTATAGGCTTAGACTGCTGGAGGACCTTAGAACCATTTTTCATATTTTTTTTCATTATATCTCTATTCTCCTATTCTGTAGTGTTTGTTCGTTCAACATCTAACGTTATGCTCTCTCTGCTTTTTCTTATCATAGTAGCTTCACCTGGTCTGTTCCTGTTTGGCTGTGACACCATCCTGGGGAGAAATATCTGCTGTGCATCAGCTGTGCCATCAACACATTTGTTTATAGATGTTGGAGCTTGGCCTTTTTTTCAGTTAAGTCCTGTTTCTCTGACTGTGATTAACTATGCTATGACATGGGAGCTCATCTGCCTGGCTGTGTGTTTCCTGGACGGGGCCACCTGTGGAGCTGGTTTACAGTTGCCTTTTGTATCTCTGCTTCTGTCTCTTTGAACCCTAGCCGCCCTTGACAGATGGACGCTCACACAGAGTCTGGTTCTGCTGGAGGTTTCTTCCTGTTAAAAGGGAGTTTTTCCTCTCCACTGTCGCTACAAGCATGCTTAGTGTTAGAGGTTGCCTTGGAGTCAATGAGTTGATGCAATCAGCTGGTTTTCCTTAGAAAGATAACTTTGAACCAATTTGACTGTATGATCTGGTTGAATTGTCTCTGTGAAGTGATTGAGCTGACGTGTCGTGAATTGGCACTACTGTACACGTGCTGGTCATAAAATTAGAATATCATGAAAAAGTAGATTGATTTCAGTAATTCCATTTAAAAAGTGAAACTTGTATATTATATTCATACATTACATACAAACTCATATATTTCAGATGTTTATTTTGTTTAATTTTGATGATTACAAATGACAACAAATGAAAATCTCAAATTCATCATATCAGAAAATTAGAATATTACTGAAGACCAATAAAAACAAAGGATTTATAGAAATGTTGGCCAACTGAAAAGTATGAACATGAAAAGTATGAGCATGTACAGCACTCAGTATTTAGTTGGGCCTCCTTTGGCCTGTATTACTGCAGCAATGCGGCGTGGCATGGAGTCGATCAGTCTGTGGCACTGCTCAGGTGTTATGATAGCCCAGGTTGCTCTAATAGTGGCTTTTAGCTCTTCTGAATTGTTGGGTCTGGTGTATTGCATCTTCTTCTTCACAATACCCCATAGATTTTCTATGGGGTTAAGGTCAGGAGAGTTTGCTGGCCAATTAAGAACAGGGATACCATGGTCCTTCAACCAGGTACTGGTAGCTTTGGCACTGTGTGCAGGTGCCAAGTCCTGTTGGAAAATGAAATCTGCATCTCCAAAAAGTTGGTCATCTGCAGGAAGCATGAAGTGCTCTAAAACTTCCTGGTATGTGGCTGCGTTGACCCTGGACCTCAGAAAACACAATGGACCAACACCAGCAGATGACATGGCACCCCAAACCATCACTGACTGTGGAAACTTTACACTGGACTTCAAGCAACGTGGATGAAGTGCCTCTCTTCTTTTCCTCCAGACTCTGGGACCTTGATTTCCAAAGGAAATGCAAAATTTACTTTCATCAGAGAACATGACTTTGGACCACTCACCAGCAGTCCAGTCCTGTTTCTCTTTAGCCCAGGCAAGACGCTTCTGACGCTGTCTGTGGTTCAAGAGTGGCTTGACACAAGGAATGCGACAGCAGAAACCCATGTCTTTCATACGTCTGTGTGTGGTGGTTCTTGAAGCACTCACTCCAGCTGCAGTCCACTCTTTGTGAATCTCCCCCACATTTTTGAACGGGTTTTGTTTCACAATCCTCTCCAGGGTGCGGTTATCTCTCTTGCTTGTACACTTTTTTCGACCACATCTTTTCCTTCCCTTCGCCTCTCTATTAATGTGCTTGGACACTGAGCTCTGTGAACAGCCAGCCTCTTTAGCGATGACCTTTTGTGTCTTGCCCTCCTTGTGCAAGGTGTCGATGGTCGTCTTTTGGACAACTGTCAAGTCAGCAGTCTTCCCCATGATTGTGTAGCCTATAGAACTAGACTGAAAGACCATTTAAAGGCTTTTGCAGGTGGTTTGAGTTAATTAGCTGATTAGAGTGTGGCACCAGGGGCCATCAATTTTGAACCTTTTCACAATATTCTAATTTTCTGATATGATGAATTTGAGATTTTCATTTGTTGTCATTTGTAATCATCAAAATTAAACAAAATAAACATCTGAAATATATGAGTTTGTATGTAATGTATGAATATAATATACAAGTTTCACTTTTTAAATGGAATTACTGAAATCAATCTACTTTTTCATGATATTCTAATTTTATGACCAGCACCTGTATATAAAAAACTGAATTGAATTGAAACAGCACTATTGGTGTTGAGGTTGGTTATTTCTCATGCAAAAATTATTTCAAGGTTAAGGTTACAACTGAAGCAAAGCTGGGAGCAAAACTACTCTTTAAAAAAGTAATATAAAGGGATGAGCTCTTTCAGGACTACTTTCAAAGTGTTTTACATGTTTGTTGTTGTTTGAGGTCCTTTAACATTCATTTAAAGTATTTAAATTCCCTTCTAACTGTATTTATACAGGAAAACTTTACAGTTATTGGAATCCCTGCAAAAGATATATGCCTTGCAAAAAAAAAACACAAAACTTTTATTGTAGTGATGTTAGTATTATTTGTTTTCAGTAGGAAAAAAAATATACGTAAACATCTACATTAAATACATCAACTCAGTGGTAAAAACAAACCGCTTTAAAGAATAATTATCACACAAAATTACCAATGCCACCTATATTGGTACCACTGCTGTTAATATTTTGTAAGATCCTTTTTGGACTGGATGACAGAAGAGGTTGGCCTTTTTATAACATTTCACAAGAGTAAATCTGACAGATTGATTTAACAGCTTTAGAGACTCTAAAGAACAAAATATCTGTTTGATTCTGTTTAGAGAACCATGAAGTCTTGGACATTTGTTAAAGCCATTTGCCTGTTGCTAACCCATTGTCTTGTTTTCTAGCACAGGCCACCAAAACGGATGTCAAATCCATTTATTCATATATAAGGCCATCAACTTGGTTTCAGCTGTATAAATAAGCTTTTGAATGAATTATTTGATTCAAAAAGAGAGCACTGTTTGTATTATAACTTTACTCCCATTTCATTGGCAGTTTTAGCCACTTTGTATACTTTAGAAAACCATTTGCTTATAATGTATGACATAGAATGCCATTTATAGGCTGTTGGAGGACCACATAAAGTGCTGTGATGGGTTGGATTCAGCTCTCGGGCCTTTAGTTTGAAACATATGCTTAAAATAATTCATTATTTCAAGTTACCTTACAAGTTTTCAAGGATCTTTGCAAGACAACAGGAACATCATATTACAGATCCACTACCATACTAAACCGTTGGTATTAATTTATGCTGAACATCTCTTTAATTTCAACACTGCATGAGGTTTTTGTAGTGACTATTTTCTAACCAAGGCATACAGTTTGAGTGCAAGTCCAAGGTGAGCTTAGCAATCACTTAATTTGTAATGGTAGGACATAAAAGACTTTTTTCCTGGAATAGCTCCCAAAACACCCGTTTGCATGTAAATTGTTTCTATAGGTGGTTATCAAAACTATTTGACCAGTTTTAGTTTGGAATTTTCTTAAATATCCAACGTAAGATACAACGAATTCCACGTCCCCAGAGCTCATTTGTAGCGCCCGCGGATCAGGTTGCCGAGGTCTCCGCCTCTGGCTGCCGCCCAATCCCCTATGCACCGGTCCCCCATGGTTCTCCCTGCAGGTGGTGGGCCCACTGGGGGATGGCCTTGCGTCGTTCCTTCGGGCTTGGCCCGGCTGGGGAAGAAGCCGAGCCAGGCGCTCGCCGATGAACCCCAACCCCTAGGCCTGGCTCCAGGATGGGGTCCCGGGTCCGCCGTACCAGGCGACGTCACGTGCCTCGTTGTAGTCCTCTTCATAAGGGTTTTTGAACCGCTCTTCGTCTGACCTGTCACCCAGAGCCTGTTTGCCTTGGGAGACCCTACCAGGGGCATTTAGCCCCCGACAACATAGCCTCTGGGATCACCCAGGCACTGAAACCCCTCCACCACGTTAAGGTGGCGGTTCAAGGAGGGGAACGGGCCCCCAGCTCTTAACCCGAGTGGTGTCTTATTATTGGACTTCTGTGCAAGTCACGGATTGTCCATAACCATTGACCATGTTCAGGCATAAGGATGTCCATCGGTGCACCTGGCACCAGGACACCCTAGGCCGAAGGTCGATGATCAACTTTGTAGTCGTATTTTCTGATCTTCGGCCACACGTCTTGGACACTCGGGTGAAGAGAGGGGCGAGCTGTCCACCGACCACCACCTGGAGGTGAGCTGGATACGCTGGAAGAGGAGGAAGCCTGAAAGACTCGGCAGGCCCAAACATGTAGTGAGGGTCTACTGGGAACGTCTAGTGGAACCCTCGGTCAGGGACGTGTTCAACTCCCACCTCCAGGAGAGCTTCTCTCAGGTTCTGAGGGAGGTTGGAGACATGGAGTCCAAATGGGCTGTGTTCTCTGCCTCTATTGTTGATGTGGCTGCCCGTAGCTGTGGCCGTAAGGTTTGCGGTGCCTGTCGAGGTGGCAATCCCCGAACCCGGTGGTGGACACCGATAGTAAGGGATGCTGTCAAGCTGAAGAAGGAGTCCTATCGAGCTTGGCTGGCTTGTGGGACTCCTGAAGCAGCAAGCAGGTACTGTGAGGCCAAGCGTGTCGTGGCCCGGGTGGTTGCAGAGGCAAAATCTCGGGCCTGGGAGGAGTTCGGAGAGGCCATGGAAAAAGACTATTGGTTGGCCTCAAAGCGATTCTGGCAAACCGTCCGGCGCCTCCGGAGGGGAAAGCAGTGCTTCGCTAACACTGTTTTCAGTAGGAGTGGGGAGCTGCTGACCTTGAAGGAGGATATTGTCGGGCGGGGAAGGAATACTTTGAGGATCTCCTCAACCCGACAAACACGCCTTCCACGGGGGAAGATGAGACGGGGTGCTTGGGGCTGGATTCGTTCATCACCCAGGCTGAAATCACAGAGGTAGTCAAAAATCTCCACTGTGGCAAGGCTTCGGGGGTGGACGAGATCCGTCCTGAGTATCTTAAAACTCTGGATGTTGTCGGGCTGTCATGGTTGACACGTCTCTTCAACATCACGTGGAGGTTGGGGACAGTTCCCCAGGATTGGCAGACTGGGGTGGTGGTTCCCCTACATAAGAAGGGGGACCGGAGGGTGTGTTCCAACTATCGGTAATCACACTTCATAGCCTCCCCAGAAAGGCCTATGCCAGGGTGCTGGAGAGGAGAGTCCGGCTGATTGTCAAACCTCGGCTGCAGGAGGAGCAGTGTAGTTTTCGTCCTGGCCGTGGAACAGTTGACCAGCTCTACACCTTCTGCAGGGTGCTTGAGGGTTCTTGGGAGTTTGCCCAATCAGTCCACATGTGTTTTGTGGACTTGGAGAAGGTTTTCAACCGTGTCCCTCGTGCTGCCCTGTGGGGGGTGCTCGAGGAGTATGGAGTCGGGGGCCCTTTATTAGGGGCCATCCGTTCTCTGTCCAAGCGGAGCAGGAGTTTGGTTCGCATTGCCGGCATTAAGTCGGGCGGGTTCCCAGTGCATGTTGGACTCAGACAGGGCTGCCCTCTCTCACCGGTCCTGTTCATATCTTTTATGGATAGGATTTCTAGGCGCAGCCAAGGACCGGAGGGGGTCTGGTTTGGGGACCAGCGGATCTCGTCCCTGCTTTTTGCAGATGACGTAGTTCTGCTGACTCCCTCCTGCCAAGATCTACAGCGTGCACTGGGGCGGTTCGCAGCCGAGTGTGAAGCGACCGGGATGAGAATCAGCTCCTCCAAGTCCGAGGCCATGGTTCTCGACCGGAAAAAGGTGGCTTGTTTTAGGTTGAGGAGAGTCCCTGCCTCAGGTGGAGGAGTTCAAGATCGATAGACGGATCGGTGTGGCTGCTGCAATAATGCGGATGCTGCACCGGTCTGTCGTGGTGAAGAGAGAGCTGAGCGAAAAGGCAAAGCTCTCAATTTACTGCTTGGTCAACGTTCCTACCCTCACCTATGGTCATGAAATCTGAATCATGACCGAAAGAACGAGATCTTGGATACAAGCGGCTGAAATGAGCTTTCTCCGCAGGGTGGCTGGGCTCTCCCTTAGAGATAGGGTGAGGAGCTCAGTCATTTGGGAGAGGCTCAGTGTAGAGCCGGTTCTCCTCCACATCGAGAGGAGTCAGTTGAGGTGGCTCGGACATCTTCTTTGGATGGCCCTTGGACGCCTCCTTCGGGAGGTGTTCCAGGCACGTCCCACTGGGAGGAGGCCCAGTGGACGACCCAGGACATGCTGGAGAGACTATGTCTCTCGGCTGGCCTGGGAGCGCCTAGGGCTTCCCCAGACAGAGCTGGAGGAGGTGTCCATGGAGAGGGAAGTCTGGGAGTCTTTGCTTGGTCTGCTGCCCCCTCGACCCGGTTCCGGATAAAGCAGGAGACGAGGAGTACGAGATACAATGAATATAATCAAATATAAATTTTAGGCGTTCTCACATCTTAACCAAGTTTTTCTCTTTAGTGGAAAATGTGCTATATTCTTAAAAACACATTAATTTTTGAATCTGTGTGTCAGATGTCTCACCGCGCCCCAGGGTCCGGTACGCCATTGCTGGGAGTGGCTACTCCTGGAGATGGTGTTTGGTGAGGACGGCAAAGGTCTGGACTCGCTGGAACGGGACGGGCAATGAGACATGGCACAGTCCTGCTCTGTGGCTGGACGATCGTCTGGATCACACTCACTAGCATTCACTTCTTGGTCGTTAAAGTTGACACACAACACCTGTCGTGTTGTTTTCCCCTGCCCACATGTCACAGAGCACTAAAAAACAAAACATGGGGTATGAGTGAATGTATTTCATGTACCGGTAATTATAAATTCCATCTATTCATTGTTTGAGATCCAAGATCTGGAAGACATGAGGAATCTTCTCCCTTGTTTAAACTCATTTTTTCTAGCCAAAGCCCCTTTATGAAGTTTCCCCAAGATGCTGAAGTCAAACCATTCCAATTCTTACACAACAAACTATCAACAGTTTCTTTACAGACTCTGCTTTGTGCACTGATATTTTTTATTGTTGGAACAGATTGATACAATTTCCAAACTTTTACCACAAAGCTGGGAGCAGGAAGCTGTAAAATATGTGCTACATATCAGTTTGTCTTACTGGAACTACAGGGTTAGGCCCGGTTTCTAAAAAACATGTGCTGTACACCAGTCCAACTGATGCTTTGGTTGCACCTGCTGGAAATAATTGCACTGTTCTTGAGCTAATCTGAAGACCAAGTGAAGTTTTGAGGTATATAGTAATTGAAAGTTTGTGTTTCTTTCCCCTCTGTCTGGCCTGCAATAATATGGTTTAGCCACAGCTGTTCCCACTTGCTTTAGTTTTGCTGTACCACTAACCTTTGACCTTAAAACAATTAGTAGTGAAGAACTTTCAACAGGAGACCCATTTGTTGTCTAGGTGGTGGGTTATAACTACTGACTACTTCTGGGTTAAAAACCTGGGTTACTGCACAATGAAAGGAACTAATTTCGTAGTGAAATACCTACCCAATTAGTTTTTATGATAAGAAATGTGGATGTATTTAGATGGCTTTCCTGCTATTGCAACTTTAAATGCAACTGAGAGTTCAATTACCCAGTTATGAATTGGATATATCTAAAACATTGTATAGTGATCATCATGGTGTGTGGATAAGTGAGTAAAGACACTCATTTCCAGTACATATACATCAACATAATAATTATTTTAAATTCTTATTTAAAAAAAAAAGAAAAAACACATTAGCGCTATATGACACATGCTTTAGAAGTGGATGTTTTTGTAAATTAACACAGAAAATAGGTATGATGCTAAAAAATTATAGTTTTCAAACAATTTAAGAAAAAATATCACTTCAATACGCATGTCATGTTAGTAAGTTACATATAAAAACCTTTGACTATTGCTATTGGCAAACCTTTGGGCCTCTCTATTTTTGCCTTGCATCTATTTTTTACACCTGTGAAGGATTCATTGCAAGACAGCCTTCCTCAGCCAAATGGCTTCATGTGGGCCTCTGTCTCAGCTGATCTGCTCTCCCTCTGCACCAGAACAGAAAGCAGTCTTCTTCTGCTGTAGAGGACGCACTTATGAATAGTCACTTTAAAATACAGAATTGTAGTAAGATGCAGTGCTTTAAATTGAAAGGAACATATATTTGAAAAGTGAACAACGTCAATATGTACCGTAGTTACACCCAACACTCAGAGACTCTGGATGTGAATGAAACATCTGGAATAAATACTTTGAGCAACTGAGCAACAAAGTGTCTGATTGTGAGAAGACCTTTCAAACTGAGATAGATGAGTATAGACTGTTGCAGAGTACTATAATATACAAAAACCTATAGAAATATTCCTCATAAAAACTTACTCAGGTTGTCTCATTTTGAAAGAAAAAGCAAGAACTATGACCTTTTTTAGGTTAAAAACCTTTCAGAAAAAAGTGCAAGGCAGAATTTTCACCAACACCACAATTATCTCCCTCTGCTCTTCCACAGAAGTCCAGTTTCTGTTTTACATGAAGTTCAGAAGTGTATGCAGTTATGTCACAATATTTCCCCCCATTAAACACACTGTATACTAATGCATATGATGCATTCCTTGATTAAACAAATCTAGAATATCAGATGAGATGGATGGTTTCCTGGTGTAGTCAGCCTTAGTCCACAATGTGTTTCTCTGAGACTCAAGATCTGATTTAGCCTTAAGATAAATCGTTTCCTTTCTGATTGTCACTGGGTATTTCTGGCTTGGTGATACGAGAGGATGGTTATGAGGTTGCATTTGTGTGTGCAGTGCACAATGACCAGGCTTGGAATCTGACTGTATTGTATCGCCACGGCTCTGATGAGAAACATCTGTAAACAAGAGCGAAGCCCCCCTCACTGAAGCCTCTCGGATCAGCTCCAGAAACTTGCATTCTTAATCTTTGTTTGAGACGCAACCAAATCAAACTCTCACACCTTCTCTGCTCTGCTGCACCACTTCTTCAGTTTCCTTCAAAAACTTGTCTAGCTGCTGCAAAGTCTTTAAAGAAGTCTTTCTACCCCTGTAACTACAACCTGAATATGTATTCAGTTTACTGGGATTTGATGTTATATGTAACTTTAAAAAAAGAGTGAAGTATTAAAGAAAGAGGGAAACATGAAAATGTTTTTAAGATATTTTAGAAATACAAATCTAAGAAGTAAGGGCCAGATTTGTAAAGTGTACAGCTGTAAGTGGTCTTCTCAAGCTGTGGATCTCTATAACTCCTCCCCAGAGGTAACATGGATTTCATGACAGCTTCATTGATCAATGGTCTGGGAGATGTTCAAAGCAGAGGCATATCGTTTTACAACCTAATCCTGCTTTAAGTTTATCCAACACTTTATCCCTGACCTGTCTGCTGACTTCCCTTTTGTTCATGGTGCTGTTTGTTTTCTAAAATGCTCAAAAAGGTTATGTAACCAATAAATCATCAGCAGCAATCCAAATTAGGATAATAGAGGCTTTCTTACAGCTGTCCATTCCAGCACCTTCCACTGTCCACAAGCTACAACGGAGCACACCTCCATGGCGGGTGGTTTTGGAGAGTGAGCGCAAGCCGACTCTTCTGCTACACCACCCTGGTTGTCACGGCAACTCACAAAACGCCTTCTGGTGCCTTTGCCACAGCTGGCACTACACTGTCAAGTAGAAGAAAGATGTTAAGAAGATGCAAAACATTATACTGAGCATTGCAATAAAAATGCAAGAAGTGAACCAACCTGAGCCCAGGAACCAAACCTCCACTGGGTTCTGTGGCCTTGGTGAGAGGGGACTTTAGTTCCTGGGGGAACAGGGTGGCTGCTCGGACACTGGGCCACTTCACAGTCCTGTGAGGAATGAGACACATACACCCATTCATGCGATGTTTAATAAAATGACTTTACTGTAACAACATCTGTCTCTGAAATCAACATGCCAGACATATCAGAAAGGTTTTTATGACGAGGGACCGCTGTTAACAAGTAGAGCTATATACCTTCAGCGCCATGTTTGAAAGTGGGTATGTTTCCCATCAACCTTTTCCCCCCACCTTATCAAAACAACATTATCATGGTCTGCACTGTCAGTTCAAACTATGGATTGTGGCAGTAAGCCACTCAGCATAAAGCCTTGATCCCTGTCATAACAGGTCATAGTGGAGTGGTATTTAGGGCTCCAATGCCCATCCTGGCGTGGTTAGAAACTCCACCCCTAATCCACCCCCTTGTGCCTCACCTTCCGCCTTTTCCCTCTCAACCCCTGCCCTCCGTTGCCCTCTGACCTCTGTCTCTAGGAATGATGACCTTAATCAGGTCTCACAGACTCTGGGTAGACTACACATTCCACACTGTGCTTCCTAAAAGAAACAAATAGGCCCCATAGTAGTGCTAAAGACTGCTTTACACACACTTCCTGCCATACTCATTCATGTATACACATCTTACTTTAGAAAATCACATAGGAGATCAAAACCGCATGTGGTGTCTCACTCTTGTGTGCCCCTTTCCTCCCATGTATAATAACTCCCCTCCTCCTCACGAATGCTCCTTCTCTGAGTCCTGTTGGGTAGAGAGTGGTGGTGGGAATAGCGGCCTGGTGGCCCACTTCATGGCTGGCTGATCAGAATTACAAGGAGGTGAGGCGACTGCTTCAGGGTCACTGGTCACCAGTCCCTGCCGACCCAGGCACCGGAATTAAGAACTGCTGCGACTGGAGAGGGGCCTCATCCTGACTCTGCAGTCTCAGCCCTCTGAAATGCGTTTACGCCCCACGCTGACCAAACAAAACTCTCATTCAACTTAAATACTGTACGTTTCTTTGTAGTTTCTCTGTGTGTTTTTTTTTTGTGTCTGTATATGTGTTTTTCTTACTATGATAAAATAAAAAATTTAAACATACAAACAAAATATACCCTATATTAAAATAAATTATTACATCTACTATTTAAAGTTTGGTCTTATAACTCTATTACACGTAGGGCAAGCTTTTCCAAGTCTTATATACATTGGGCCTTTAGTTTCAGATATCTATTTATAAAAACATTACATATTTGACAAATTGAAATACATTGTTTTAAAAGTTATTGAAACATTCTCAGACCATAGATTTCTGATAAAAATCTGATTGATCAATGAGGTGTTTGAATTGAGTTAAGAGAAAGGACAGCAATTCCTGAAGCTCAAAAGCAGATTAGATTATAGATAAGCTATAGAAAAAAAGCAAAGTTGCTTCCTTATGTTTTTTATTACTCTGTTAAAAAAACATGCTATGCTTCGATATGATGGCAGCATTTTTTTCGAGGGGTGGGGGGGGATTTGTGATGTACAGTCCTATGCTTTAATTGATTGATTGATTGATTGATCTCACAGTCGAGAAATGTACTTGTTACGTCGGCTCAAATAGTCAAAGAAGAAGTTGCCAAGTAAGAAAAGGTGCATGGGGAAATATACAGTGTGTGTGTATATATATATATATACATATATATAAACATATATATATATATATATATATATATATATATATATATGTGTATATATATATACATATATATATACATATATATATATATATATATACACTCACCGGCCACTTTATTAGGTACACCTGTCCAACTGCTCGTTAACACTTAATTTCTAAGCAGCCAATCACATGGCGGCAACTCAGTGCATTTAGGCATGAAGACATGGTCAAGACAATCTCCTGCAGTTCAAACCGAGCATCAGTATGGGGAAGAAAGGTGATCTGAGTGACTTTGAACGTGGCGTGATTGTTGGTGCCAGAAGGGCTGGTCTGAGTATTTCAGAAACTGCTGATCTACTGGGATTTTCACTCACAACCATCTCTAGGGTTTACAGAGAATGGTCCGAAAAAGAAAAAACATCCAGTGAGCTGCAGTTCTGTGGGCGGAAATGCCTTGTTGATGCCAGAGGTCAGAGGAGAATGGCCAGACTGGTTCGAGCTGATAGAAGGGCAACAGTGACTCAAATAACCACCCGTTACAACCAAGGTGGGCAGAAGAGCATCTCTGAATGCACAGTACGTCGAACTTTGAGGCAGATGGGCTACAGCAGCAGAAGACCACACCGGTTGCCACTCCTTTCAGCTAAGAACAGAAAACTGAGGCTACAATTTGCACAAGCTCATCGAAATTGGACAATAGAAGATTGGAAAAACGTTGCCTGGTCTGATGAGTCTCGATTTCTGCTGCGACATTCGGATGGTAGGGTCAGAATTTGGCGTCTACAACATGAAAGCATGGATCCATCCTGCCTTGTATCAATGGTTCAGGCTGGTGGTGGTGGTGTCATGGTGTGGGGAATATTTTCTTGGTACTCTTTGGGCCCCTTGGTACCAATTGAGCATCGTTGCAACGCCACAGCCTACCTGAGTATTGTTGCTGACCATGTCCATCCCTTTATGACCACAATGTACCCAACTTCTGATGGCTACATTCAGCAGGATAATGCGCCATGTCATAAAGCTGGAATCATTTCAGACTGGTTTCTTGAACATGACAATGAGTTCACTGTACTCAAATTGCCTCCACAGTCACCAGATCTCAATCCAATAGAGCATCTTTGGGATGTGGTGGAACGGGAGATTCGCATCATGGATGTGCGGCCGACATATCTGCGGCAACTGTGTGATGCCATCATGTCAATATGGACCAAACTCCCTGAGGAATGCTTCCAGCACCTTGTTGAATCTATGCCACGAAGAATTGAGGCAGTTCTGAAGGCAAAAGGGGGTCCAACCCGTTACTAGCATGGGGTACCTAATAAAATGGCCGGTGAGTGTATATATATATATGTATGTATATGTATATATATAGCTGAATTCCTTTTTTTCAAAGCAGGAATATTATACAGAGTTATTGCACAGGGTGTTTACATAGGTATTTATATAGATGAGTATTTATCCACATAACTATTGCTCTGGGTATCAAATATAATATATAAAAAGGTTGTTGCACAGGGTATTAGATAGTAACTGCACATTATACATGGCACAACTTATTGCAGTTGTAGAGTCGCATTGTATAGTCTGGTGGCAGCAGGGATGAATGACCTGCGGTAGCACTCATTTTTGAAAACGGGGAGTACAAGTCTTTCACTAAAGAAGCTAAACGAGCTATCGAAAAAGATTTTTAGCAAAACCGATGGCGAGCTGCTATGGTGCAGTACACGGAACAAACAGCAATGAAATTTATTCATTATTTAACTTTATTCAAAGAATAAAACTTATTTAAACATAATTGAGACACTTATAGGAGCTGTTTGGATGAGGAACTTACTTTGCATTGTTCATTTTGTATAAAGCCCTACACACAAAGGGCTTTGGATCAGTGTAGAGGTTAGCAAGATTGTGAGAATCTCCCCCTGTTGCAGTCTGATTTGCTGAACTGCATCAAGTCTCATGCCTGAGGAGTTTATATATATGATTAAAAGTTTATCTCGCAATGATAAAAAGCCTCCATTCCTGAAAATGTGCTGAAATAGCAGTCAGATCTCCCTAAGATGCCACAATAAAGAGTTGAACTCTCCTTTAATTCATGTGTTTCCCACAGAGCACCCGCTGACAAAATAAATGGCTTCTCTTGTGCACTTAAACCGTAACACCTATTTCCATATGTTTACTGTTGTGCTGCGTGTGACAGGACTCTTATCCTTCTTTTACTCATGCAGGTCAGTTTGGAGCTGTCAACAATTAACAGTGAAGTCAGAAATAGGCAACATTTTATAGGTAGTGGAAACAAGCAGACCAAATAAAATAAGATTCCAGAAAAAATGGGATTTGAGCAACAGAACATGCAGAGGGAACTTGATCCAAGACTCAAGTTGTTGTGGTGGTCTGGTGGAGAAAACAATGATATCTATAAAGTCACGGTGAGCCAGCTAGTAAAAAAATGCAATATTTTGTTGAGGATTTACTTGAATGCATGCAATCCTGGAATGAGTACTATCAATTTTTTGTGGTTTATCGTTTTACCAAGTTATTGTTTTTCAGTAGTGTCACAGTTTTAAATTTAGGTGTTCTAATGGATTTTTTGTTTTGGTCATTAAGAACTAAAACCTATGCAGGTTGGAGGAAAAAGTCAATTAAAATATTTCACTTAATCACACAGGAGTGTATCTTGCAAAAGCATTCATATTTGTGTTTGTCTAAAAATTGTCAAGTTAATAACAGATTAGATAATACAGATAACAGAAACTTTCTAATTTCAACAAAAAGGTTAAAGACTGTAATGTACATCTATATTAGGTCTGCTTAACTCTGATACAGCCCAATAAAACCCAATGCAACGGATGTCACATGATTAGTAAATAGACTCCAGTTGTGTGTACTTTGAATATATGCAGCCTTTGGTTGTGAGCTTGTTAGAGAGTAAACAGCAAAGACAAAATGCCAGAGTGCCTGGTGGTGAAGTATAAACAAGAGACCAATTATAGAATAATAGCCCACTATTTAACCCATCACCTGGCAAATTGAGAGAGCATACACTGCAAATGCAAACCTGCCATGACCCTTTACCTCACCTGACATGACCAGGTGAGGAGAGAGCATTACTTAGTGAAACAGTAAAGAGGCCCATGGTAACACAGGGGGAGCTGCAGAGCTCCACATTAAAAGAACAAGCATATTATACCAATTTCACACCGGCCAAAAAATCAGTTTAACCCAGGGAACAATCAGCTTTTAATGGCAACTGATGCATGTCTACCCAGGTCAAACAACTCGAGAAGCAACTCGTGTTAAAATGGCCTCGGTTCAGATCTGCATGATGTGGGAACCGGCTAAATTATGTTACACCATTGAACGCATAGTACGGATGTCAACACACTGCAGCAGTCGCTTCTGATCTTACAAGCCGAAACAACTCTGCTTACATACGATAAACATAGAGCAGTACTGGTAAGAATGATTCAGGGGACAAAAGTGCAAAACAATAAACCAAACTTAATACGCTATGGCTTCCTTACATGTTTCTCTCTATTGTTTACTTTATGATTTCTGTTGCAGTGGTGACATCATCAACGCTAACCCTGCATGATTGTCTCACCAGGCCTGCAGCGGCAGGGGGACAGAGGCCAAGGAGCTTGCCAGCGAGGGGTTAGACCCAGCTTTTTTACTTCTGGGAAGGGAGCCAAATGCTGATTGTTAACGGGTCAACCCACGTTTGAAAAACCCGGTTTAATGCGTTATTTTCCGTGGGAAAGTGGCTTTAGTTAGACAAGAGAGACAAGAAAAGGGCCGTTTTTTGAAGAAAAAGCCATATGAAAACCTGTAGGAGACAAAGAACACTTATGGAAAAAGGTGGTGTGGTCTAGAGTCCTGCAACGGGTTGGGTACCCGCGGGTCCCCGACGGGTCACCCGCTAAAATGCTCTTTTGAGGGTGGATATTTTTCGAGCGGATATTTTTTTAGTGCAGGCGGGTAGTTGGTGATTTTTTTTTATGCGTGTGTGTTGTTATGGACATCAGAAATTTTATATTAATCAGGCACTGGGGTCACCCTTGTTGTAGCTTAAAGCCCTGCTGGCAGTGTGGGCTTCCCTCCAAAAAGACCACAGTCAGTGCATACACATCTGCTGCAGTGTTAAGGCACTGTTCTACAGCGCAGCGTACTATAGCCTATTACTTGATGTGTTAACGGGTCGGGTTGCGGGTTAAATTTCAACGGGTCGGGGTGGGTTCGGATTTGAATTGAAGATATCTGGGGTGACGGGTCGGGTTCGGTAGTCATCCTAACGGGTTCGGGCAGGTGCGGGTTGGTAAAACTCGACCCGTGCAGGACTCTAGTGTGGTCAGATGAGGCTGATGTTTAACATTGGTCAATGTTTAACCATAAAAAAACACTACCCATACCAAGTGTGAAACATGGAAGTGGGAGCATCATGCTAGGGGAAGGATTTTTTTAGCAAGGAACAGAGACGATGGCCAGAGTTGATAGGAAGATGACTTAGATAAATTCAGCTCAATAATGTATGAAAACATGTAAGATGACGCAGCTTAAGATGCTGAATACAAATTAACACCACACCCTTATTAATATATATGCAAGATACCATTTATTTCTTACAACTTCAATCCTGGCATCTTGTTAGGCTTCAGAGTTATGGACCAGAAAGGCTTTATTTCATTTTATACGCAGTAAGATATATATCCTTTAACTGTAGATAACCAGAAATCTTATCCAGAGGAGATGAAGGGATTCTGGGTAGATATCGTTCTCTCACCTGCGTATCAGTGGGTCGCGTGGCAGCATTACATTCAGTGTCGTCCATGACAGCACCATAGGAGCCCACCACACACTTCACCACTCGCATCTGGTAGCCTGGCCCACAAGAGGTAGTGCACTGGGTTCAAAGAGGGAGAAAGAGAGAGGAAAAAAATGAGAAGCGGTGGGAAATGTTAACAACTGTGAAAAGGAGACAGAGAGGCAGGCGCAGAACTGTCGGTTTATGCAAGTAGGCAAGAAAAACTCCTTTTTAAATAAATAACTCTGCCCAGACACATTAAGAATTAGGACTTTCTACAAATGAGGAGCAGAAGAAGCTCAGATAGATTGCTTTGGAGGTTTTTCCACTGTTGCCAAGTCAAAGGGTACAATCCCGCGCCCGCTTCTGGCTCATTGCCTTCACTAAAACAGGGTCAAACTTGTGTGGCGGCGGCTTTAGCTAACATTTGGCCACGCTTCATTAAACTGCTTCAAATACATGTTAACATGCGCACATCCTCTGATGAGAGGCACAGAAATAGTTCACATTTTTGGGTGTTAAGTTTTGTGTGCGCAGACACAAACTGGGAATGCAAACAGACAATGTGCTGCATGCATTATTTCAGGAAGAGCTTTTATCACACAGCGATTTAGAGGATCTGGGCGGCCAATATTGTCTATATAGGAAAAAAACAAGCTTTGAACATTTCCTGTTTTAGTAAACATTGCAGGAACAATTTTTAGGCTAATACTTCACTGTATTTCATTCAGTAACAAATGGCTGGGAAATCCCTGTATTGTTTGATTTCGAGGTTTATTAGGCATAACAGTTCCATTCATATGTTGGAAGTAAATACAGTAAAAATCTTTCCTTAATGCTCTACATGTCACAACAAGATAGAACCAAACCAATGTCTTTAAAATGTGTTTTTCTTGCTTCGATTAACAACTTAAACATTATTGTAATTTCATTTGATATAGTACCAATACAAAATACTTGGCTTTTTTGGATTTAAGCCTTTTTTCCTTTTTTTTTTTAAGGAGTGGAGCACTTCTTTAGTATTCTGAGTCAGTAATTGGTATAAATTCCTGAAATCACAGCTGTATTTATGCAATTCATTTGATTTTTATTAAGTAGCATAACTTCAGCTCATGGATTTTGGGTGGAGAGAATATGTGGAGATTGATTGATTGTACTTTGACTAGACCATTTTAATCTACAAATATGCGTTAATCTAAATCTTTCCATTAGACTTCCAGATCAAATTTATTATAATTAGATTGCCTGTGTTTAGCTTCATCCATCAAAATGGTCAAACCTGACCAACCTTCTCGTTGCCATTTAATTAAAAATAAGACACATAATAATACAGTGTAGTGAATGTACAAAGCAGCTTTCATTTTTGAATTTCTAAAAAACACAAAACTTTTAAACCTCAAAATGATGCTATTAGATGAAATACTGAGCATTATAATGCAGTGCTCATCATCTGATATTAATAGCACTGCAAAACAATGTATGTATGAAGTCATAAGTATCCATTAGAGCAAAATAAAGTTTCACGTTAAAGGAACAATGCTCATGCTCTGCAGGGAAGCACAACTCTGACTTTTTCCTCTTACATAGGTTTAATAGGCATTCCCTCTCTGGTGGTGCATGTGCATTTTTTTTAAGTGAAGTCTTTTCAAATATTTTCAGAAACCTTCCAATGTTCCTTTAAATCTCTAAACATCTATGTTTAGGTTAATACTTAAGCGGGGACTGAACCTACTAAGACAACTAATTACAGCTGTAGATGTAGAGTTACAGAAAAAAACTTGAACTGCAATGTTGGTTCACATTTTGGTGGAAAAAACATACATGTTCAGTGTGCACTTAATGTCATAAACATGTAGGACCCACTCACCTGTCCCCAGGGTCCAACTTGCCACGAGGCGCACTCTTGTTGCTGACATGTCTGCACCGACTCAGGTTTGGATGTACCGCAGAAGCGATCATCCAGGCGGTCCTCTCCAAACTGGCACCATATTTGACGGTGCCTGTAGCCTTTCCCGCATGTTACAAGGCACTGATAAGGAAACAGTAGAGAATGACATAGAAGCATAAAACATTAACTGTAGTTGTCACAACAGCTGTATTTAAGCTTATCTGAAGGCATTTCCTAGTAACATAGTTTAAAGTAAATGTTTCAAAGTATCGTTATTGTATGGGAGCCAAACCCAGAGGAAGTGTGGTCATGCATATGCCTTTACAGTATAGCATTTAGGAGAGGTGAAGCAATCCTCGATTGCAGCCCGGAGATTAGCAAACTTCAATATTTACAAACTGAGCAGCAGTCAAGCACCCTGCAATCACCACTTTCACAAAACTTACACATAGTGGAGGAAGTGGATAAATAAAGAGAAGTTACTGAGATAGACCAGTAGGATTTTCGTCCAGATCAAATTAGAATTAAAAAATCCAATAGGTTTGCATATCTTTTTTGTGAAATCTACCTGGAAAACAGATTTCAAAGCGCAAAGAATCTAGTACGCCTCAACTGACCTCAGACCAGTCACCAGTCTCCCATTGTGGACAGAGGAAATCATTGCAGGGTTGGACGGTTAGTTTATCCCTTTGACTGCATCTGCTCTCTTCATCGCCACCCTCAGAAGTCTTTCGACACACTGCTCCTCGACGTCGGGTGCCTCCGCCGCAGCTTTTGGAGCACTGCAAATGAAAGTCAGCCATCAGCTAAAAGGAAAACCTAAATAAATTTGTTTCCTTCTGTTATTGTCATACCTCTGACCAGGGTGAGTACTCCCACCCACCAGGGTTACAATCTCCACGGCAACCTTCACGGTCATTAGGTTTACGTTGCCCACTGCAGTAGCGGTCATCAACTTTCTGGATCTTGCCATCTGAGCGGTTGATTTTGGCGCATTCTATTTCCAGAGTGCGGTATCCAGCGCCACACTGGGCGGTGCATTCACTTTTATGGGCCACGTGCCATCTGATACATGAGACAGAGGTCAGACACAGATTGGCAAGACTCACCGACTTGGCCCTTTTTGGGTAGCAAAAGTCGGTTAAATGGGTAAAACAGACCTGAGTTCACATTCTGTGTTGCAGGGCTCTGTAATAACTGCAGGCCGAACCGCACTGTGGCACCGCTGGTCTGACACCACCACTCTGTCTGACTCTCGGCTGCAAAGAGTCTTTCGCTTCCGCTCTCCTGTAGAGATTAAAAACATTTTTTTTTAAATGCAGAACTATTATTGACATAAAACTAGATTACCTAAACAAGTTAAAAATATTTTTCTCATTGAGTTGAGTTTAGCTGGAGTTTTTTCTGTGTTATGTCCAGCTCTTACCTTGGTGCTTACGGTCAACTCCAACAAATGGATTTTGCGGGGATTTACTTTTGGTGACTGTTTATGAATTAAACTCCACTTTGACTGCTGTTCTTGTTCTTTTTTAGACTGAATAAAAAGATTATTTTATCATAATCTACTTGGGAACCTTAAGAGTTTTGCATTTTGGTGCAAAGAGAGCAGAGTTCCAGCTGAGGGCGTTACATGTTGGCTGTGTAACCCGCTGTCAGAATTGGCCATACATCAACAGAGCTGTGTCAATAAGCTCAGAAAGAGATTCTTACACTGATCAAACTGTATTGTAGCACAGATTGAAGTTTTCAAGTTTACCTGCGAGCCACCCCCTCAGACCTAACCACCCTGACAAATCCACAGTCATGTCAAAGAAGGTAATATATCACAGTATACTTGCTTTAAAATAAACTTTATTTGGTACCTTGTGACATTTTCCTGAGAAATACAAAAAAAAAAGTATTTCTTTATAATTGTTGCTATAAGGGTTCCCAGTTCTGTTATATTCCATGCCACTTTTGCTATAATTCATTCTATCATTTTTATCTTCAATCTTTTCTAACACTAAGGCCTGCCAACCACATGTGCCTCCCCCTCACCTTGGCACAGCCGACTGCACTCCTGCCAGGGCCCGTAAGCGTCCCAGAAGAATTGCTGCGGCTTATCCTCTATGGGGATATTAAAGGAGTACCTGACATCTGGGTTGTAAAGGTTTCCAACAGAGAGCACCTGGAGGGAGGACAGTGAGGTACAGTTCAACACAGTGAAGATAGGAGTTTGTGAATAATACAAACCTTCCAAAGCAAAAGTGGATATTTGAAAGAGAATGAACTAATACTTACTCCTCTAAAGCAACATATTTTTGTAAGGGTATTAACACTTTTTCACAATTTTTTAAGGTAAAAACCAAAAACTTTACATTATCATGTCTCTTCCAGTTCTGTTTTCCTATTTTTCTTTGCAAATTGGAGCGATGGCAGTAGAAACTGGTAAATTTCTGTTTTTTTACAGAATCTTACAATATTAAGGTTAAGGCAAATTTAAATCATACAGTAATGGTGATTCTTTCCAATCTACGTTATTGTAGCTCAGCAGGGATCTCTGCTTTAGTCTGAATTTTTTTGCAACTCTGACCAACTGCTCTGCCCCCCCCCCAAAAAGAAAAACATCCTGATGCTTCCCCTATGTTTCACCATGAATGTTTTACTTAGTTTGATGTGCCGTTATTTTCCCACCATGCAAGCATGGAGGCCAAAAGCAATCAGTTCAGGTTTCATTTAGCTTGAGCACCTTTTTACATGTCTCACAAGGGTTTCTTTCAGCAATGCCTTCCTTGTTGATGGCTTTTTCCATTAAGGCTTTATTTTTTGAGTGCGTGGCTCATAGTTGCCTTCCGAACAGAATTTTTTGACAGTATATCACTGCATGACATACTCTCCAGATTGGCATACGTTTGTACATCATTCTCATTTAAAACTAAGATTTTGCTCCATGTAGGAGTTTTGTCACTCGTGAAATTCAAATAAAACACAATGAAGTTTAAGGCTGTAACAACCTAAAAGTTCTAGCAAAATAAAATATTTTTAAAAGACAATGCATAAGGAATATCATTTTCCCTAGCGAATTTTTACCTGGACAATAATCTCCTCCTCGAGGCGGTCCGTGCAGTTGATCCTCTCGATAACATGGTCAGAGCCACTGTACTCGATGACGGCATCCCCCACTTTGATTTCCCTTTTGAACATGCTCACCACAAACTCTCCATTGAGCAGGAATTCTCCACGCCTGTTTGATATCGCTGCAGGAAGACGTGAACTGTTTGACTTTCATAATTGAATTCAGATCAAGCTGTGTCTGTTCAACTGTCCCAAAACACTCTGGTGTGTGCTTTGGTATTTAAAGCTACACCTTGCTAGCGCCACTTACTTAAAACTGTGACTTATTACTGTATGATAGATGATATATTTGAAACACAAAGGTTTATAGTAGACTTTTGACAAAGACAAAGGCATCAGGTAGAAGTAAAGCTTTTCTGGGCTGAAATAATCCTCTTTTCCACAAGAAAACCCATCCAGGGGCGTCCTGTTCTGCTCCACAACCGGCCGTCTGCACTCATTCTCTCTAATGCGATTATAGAGCTAATTTCCTGCCGTTTCTTTCCTCACCATTTCACACATTATATTATTATGACTGTTGAGAGTGGAAAAGGTTCAGATAAAAACTCTAACCTGTTGCTACATATAAAGCAAGCTTTTCAAGAGAAGGGTGATTCACTTTAAACTGATTTCTGAGGCTGAGGTGGTAAAAGGTAGACAACTCTGAAGTACAAAAAAAATGTATTGGCAACTGTGGTAGAGATGTGCAGGTTGGCTAAAAAAAAATGTTTTTTATTGCAGAAGGATAATTTAGCAAAAAACACTTAATTTTTATAGACCCTTCTCTTTATCTCCCCCTGTTTACCCTGTTTAGAATAGTCTAACTGAATCGGCCGCTGACTCGGATAATATTTATAAACCAGCAGAGTTGTTAAGTTTCAGGATAAATGGAGCGCAGTTGTTTTTGTTGCAATACAAACCCCAATAAACAGACATTTTTTTATCCGGATCTTTTTTCTCTACTAAATGTATTTAAATAAGATTTTTATCATTTGTTACTGTTTTGATTTCGACACAAAAAAGATTTTTTATTTTTATTTTGAGGCTATTGACCAGTGGTCCCATTAAACATGGAGGAAGCTTTACAAACATCAACAATGTTAGGAAAATGTGCATTAACTAAACACTAAAAAGAAAATGCAGCTCCAACTTAAATAAATTGCTTCAGTTGGTAAGAAGTAGTTGAATCGAGTTTAACCAACTCATTTAGTTTATAAGTTAAAAACTGAAAAAAAAATATTCAGTTATTTGTAACCAATTAAAGAAATTGTGAATTTTATTTTTAGAGTAAAATTAAAAGCCTGAAGTTTATAACCTGACTTGACCTTGCTTATTAAAAGAATAGTATGCAGACAGTGCAGAATACCATCTGCTTAAAGTTGCAGTAGCATCACTGGATGATAGAAAAGAACATTGTATTGTAGCCTACTGTAACAAACAGGCAAACATTTTTCACAACAGGAAAAGTCTTCTCACCGAGGTAGTTGTCGTCCTCCGGCTTCCCTGAGTAGCTGTGTTGCCGCACATCTATATTTGTAGAACCACTGGGTATTCTCACTACTTCATTATAGCCTGTACATGAGATCAGATAGTTAGAATACCTACTCTTGTCCCTATGTACAAAAAAATATAAACAAACTATGTTCTTTTGTTCTAAACTTTGATAACAGGTAAGGGTCTTAACATATGAAGAAACATATGAAGTTTAAAAAAGGAGATTGGTAAGAAAATAAGTTGTGGTTGTAGCTCACCATAGCGTACAGTGTTGAAGGTTCCCGCTACAGTTTTGCAGGAAGAGTTGTCACCACCGCAGACACCGCACTTATCCCTCCTGGCTTTAGAGTTCAGAACGTGATCACAACCTGCTTGCTGCTCCATCGGGAAAATGCAAAGCAAGTATTTTATTACTCTGAACGATGCAGCACAACTTTGATATTTCATTAAAAAGTACTGTCTTTTCAGTCTAAAAATGATACAGACTATAAATGAACAAATGTAACCTGGTGAAGATGCTTTTGAAAGAAGATTGAAAGCATTTGCTCAAACTTTTTTTCTCATTAGGCTACATAAAAGTCAGAAACATTGATGCATTTCTATGGCAAACCTACACAGAAAAGGTCAAAATCTTGGAACTGAATGGCAAACATCTGTGAGATAAATAAGATTAAGGTCTTGACTTTGACTAGGCCATTCCAACACATATACTATTAGATCTGTCCAAATGACCTATTTTTTTTATTTTTTACTGTGTGTGATTTTTTTGTTTTATTAACACTGAGCTAAAATATTGCAAATACTATTTTAGAAAAATAACCTGGAACAAAGTGCTCAGCATTAGGCTAAACAGATTTTTCATGCAGTGGCAAGTAGGACATTTTTGGATCAGAAAGCACTTGTCAGGGGCCTAGAGACTTACAGAGCCACAGTTAAACCCAAACTCTGTGTTTGGTTCATATTGTACACAGGGTAACCTACTACTTCTTTTGATGTGCAGGGTTTGCTTACAATCAAGTTTCCAAACTTAAAATCTATCTGTCAGATTTGAGGAAACAGAGGACACGTTGAAGGATGTGGAAATCAGTAAAGGCGTGTTTGCACGAATGCAACACACAAAGGGACCCTGCTAGAAGATGGCACTGAGACATATTCAAGTACTTTGTACTGACAAACTCACCCTGCACAGGCCCTGGACACAGATGTCGTTGGTATCGGGTCCGCATGGCGTGCCATCGATGACCCTGTCCCTGAGCTGATAGTAGGCAGTGCTGCCAGCCACCCTGCAGAACAGTTTACATCTGTCCTTCATCAGAACTGACAAAGGAGATAAAACAAAAGCTAATCACTGCAAGGCTTACACTGAAAAGATTCTATGAACAAAAATGGGAATGGGGCAGCAACAAAGGTATAACACAAGAAAATAAAAGACTCACTTCCGCTGTATTTGGGAACCCAGCGAACATTAGGAGGTAGACCGTTGATGTTGAAGTGTTTTCCATCAAAAACAGCACATTGTTCCTCCCTGAAGTCCTTCTTTTTCTTTGAGCATGGTTCTGAATTGCAAGAACGGAACTTCATCCGGCGACCAACACAATACATTCCTCCGCCCCGCGGTCTGAGAGTACAAGCAAGTATAACACTAGTTACAAAACTGCTTACAGTGTGTCAGTGCCTTAGATTCTTGTCCATATTTACCCTCTAACAGCAAACCTCTTAATTGTCCAATTAATTGTCCAGTTCAAACTTATTATCATTGGGTTTCATTCTTTTCTTTGAGCATACTAATCTAGAATAAAAGATTAGACTTGCTAAGACTGACTGATGTGTGCATTTAGCAGAAAAAATATCCCTGTAAGGTCTGCAATCAGTCAGTCTGATTCAATGAACTCTTGCTATGGCAAGAATCCCCTTAAGGAGGTTTGATCTATGGAATGCTGTCTTCAGCAGATAAAAACAAAGCGCACTGTGCATGCATGACTAAAAAGACAAGAGACTACTCACACTGGTCGGTTGCATTCACGTACTGCAATCTTTATGCCACCACTGCATGTTCGAGAACATGTACCAAAAGGGCTCCAAACCCCCCATGCTCCGTCCACAGGAGTGGCGTCGAGCTCTTTGGGAATGCACAGGCCGTGTTTGCAGTGCTGCAAGATCAATGATGGCGAAGAACGAAAAATAGATTCAACGACAAAAACATAGATACTGTAGATGGAACAAAAAAGAATGTGTACCAGGAAAGGTAAACAACACAGCAATCAAAAGTGAATAAGCTTTTGTAATCAAAGTCAAGAAATTAGCTAAACAAAAAACAGAAATTTGTTTTTGAAATTGATTAGGAAACTAAATATATAATACACTAAATAAATACACCTAGAAACAAGAAAACGTTCTTACAGAAAGTTTAGTTAACTAACTAGATTAGCTATAAAAGTTGGTAAGTGAAATTGGTTGATAAATTATGGTATGCTGGTCTGCTGCAAGCTGCCAGTTAGTGGAGAGAGGTCAACGCAAATAATTGATCAGTATTTCTAAAATGGAGTTGGAGGAGTGCAAGAGTTTCAGCAGATAACAGGAAGGCTGATAGTATTCTAGTAAAATCACTCTGAACATGTTGGAGCTGGACATGATGGAAACATTTTGCATCAAGGAAACAAGACAAAATACTAAGCTTGGTTCATTGCAAATAAAAACATTCTGAAATGTATTTCTTTTACTCTCTCTGAGCTCAGTGGAACTAAACTATTGCCAAATTCCTACAGAGTTACCGATAAATATTCAGGAAATCAGAGGGAACCATTATTTACTATTTTGCACCACATTCAAGTGTGTTCAGCTCTATACCTTAAGCAACCTGCTCCTTTTAAAAAGTCATACCATGCTGGTTGTCTGACTAAATTAATGAGTTACAAACCATTAGTTTCAGTAACACTATCTTTTATACCTTAGTAGCTATTTTTAATTTTAAGACCAAGATTTGTGAGTGATCTCACCAAAGACACTATGTCTAACAGTTATTTTAGACATCTCCTTGTTTGTGGCCACTTACATACATTTTAAAGATAATGTCGTATTATGTAAGTGAATGTGTTGCAACAGTGTTTAAATACATACAATTTTGGGATATAAAATGCTATATTCAGCAAAAAACAACAAAGCCCAATAGATTTTTACCTTAAAACTGTAAAAAGGTAGAGCCAGCTGTGACGTCAGAACTATTTCCAAGTTCCTCATTAAGACGAACTAATATTCAGCTATTTATGACATGCTGTGGAAAATCTATGAACAAGTCAACCCGGGGCTGTTTTGAATTATATACAGATCATATCTACACCTTCAAATAGAATTTAATCTACAAGAAAGAGTTGATTAATTCACTTTATCAATACCCATTAATTGTTATGTACAAGAGGTTCATTCAAACAGCGTTATTCCTACGGGAGTTACTTAGTTCTGTATTTACACTCTACAATGTTACTTTGTTATCATTTTTATTATTGTTTTTACAACTTTACAATCCTAATTTCTTACTGGAACCCACATCCTTGCTATGGGCACTTCTTAAAAACCAACATTTATTGTGATTTCAAGATTTGACGGGCCGGTTACCTTTCCAGGTGTGCAATCAGTGCCATCTGCCCAGGGCATGTGCTGTGTCCTACAGCCCCGCTGGGCGCCCTCTGGACTTGTGCACCAGAGCCTCCGACACTGAGTCTGTTAGTTGCACAGAAGCATATGGGTTATGTGTTAGAGCTGAGATTTTAAAAACTCAGCACAATATTTAAAAAAGAAGGTACTTTGTGGGCAATATGCTTTGAATATTACTAATATTTACTTATAAGGCATTCATTTTTTATTCTATGTATTTTCAGAGACAACACATTAATTTAAAATGCTTTTAATAAGCCTAGAGCCCTGGCAGCTGCATGAAAACCCAATGTCTCCTATTGGGTTCACAGTTCTTGACATTTGGACCCCTCACACTGACTCCACTTACCATATAAGGGCACACCTGCGTTCCCGGCCCAAATATCAATTCACACTGTCTATTGACACTGTATATCCGCCCAGGCAGCTGCTGCGAGAGACTGTATGGCCTAGAAACGGGCTCGTCGAGCAAGCACTCACCATACCCCGTGCTATTAGGAAATAAAAATAAAATGACTTAAAGAAAAAAAGGGGAAAGAACAAGAGACACAAACAAACAGAAAACACACTCAGTACAGCGGGAGTGGTCAGTTATCTGCACATATACATCCACAAAGACATCTGCTTTTCCTCGACCACTGATGTATACATATATATATGGAGAGGTAATCTTACTAAGAAATTCAGGGAGTCTTCTGCTTAACTTGTTTTTTATGAAAGGATTTAGTATTTTAATATCAATCTTTTCAGTATTTCCAAAATGCAGACTATCTGGGGTTTTCCTCCAGTAGATTGAGGAGCCTTTAGGAAAACAGAGGTTATGGGATAAAAGAGCTCCGAGAGGTTATGAAGCTGATCTTCCTTATATTAGCTACTTCGGAATTTGGAATTTCCACCTTACAGGAGTAAGTCTATAAGCACTGCAGAGAGAACCGCTGTTACATTTTACCATGATTCAAACAGAAAAATGTATTTCTCTAATTTAGATTTTATGCGATAGACGAACAAAGTATGAATACGACCGTGTAGTGAAGGGAAAAGTATATGTGGTTTTCAACGTTTTTTAACAAGAGAAATCCAAAGTATGGCTTGCATTTGCATTCAGAACCCCTGGCTCAACGCCTTGATACTTCTTAGAAACACTTTTTTCTTCCATAACAACTGCCATTTTTTTTTTATCTCTACCGTATATGCATGCTGGACTGTAGCTCCTATCCATTCTTCATTGGAAAAAGCTCAGATTCAGTCAGAATAGATGAAGAGAAACTGTGAACATTAATTTGTGGTCAATGAGCATGCTTGATCTAGACCGCTCTGTTTAAGCTCTGCTTTTAAGATCATTTAGGCTGCTAAATGTAAGCCTTAATTCAAGCTTTCTAAGGACCTCTAAGAGGATTTATTTAACAGAATTTCCATGCGGTCAGCTAAAAATCAGCTTTCATGTCCAACTGAAGAAAAACATAATCAGTGCAAGACACTAACATCAGCATGTGTCATAATAGAGAAGGTCTGTTCAGTTAAAAAAAAAAGTGTTTTCTTACAAACTTGGAGTTTTGTTTGTAGACTAAGAAGCTAATTTTGCATGTTTGCTGTGGCCGACATTCAGCAGGACATCTCATGCTTTTCTTTCAATCAACATTTTCCTTTTACCGCTCGTGCCAGATTTGTGAAGAGCATGAAAACCAGTCATCCTATTGACAGATTCTCCTTCCAACGCTGCAGCCCATCCAGAGGAACCCATGGCCTCTTGGTTGTTTCTCTGATTAACATTTCTGTTTGCTGATTTATGTTCTGCAACAAAACTCTTTGCGCTTGAGGTGTATTTACCCCTAGATCTGATTAAATATTTAATAACGGGGGAACTTTTGGAGGCAGTTTCTTCCACTGGATTTTATTTCCAGTATAAAAGTAAAGGGGAATACACACATTTGCAAGCCGCACATTTCAGATTTTTGTTTTAAAAAAGAAATATATTTTCTAATTTCCTTATATATATATATATATATATATATATATATATATATATATATATATGTATATATATAAAATGAAAGTATTTATTACTCTGTGTTTTACACATATAATAACAATTAATTAAGCTAAAGATTTTCTTTTAGAATAAAAAAAGTTTCAAAATTTTTTTAACTATGCATGGCTGGGTGTTTTTTGTCGTCCACATTTAAAAATGTGAGTCTTATCATGACTGAATACACTCTACAAAATGGATATGTGTTATCGTGATGATAAAAACAGTATGACATACTCAAGGAACTCTGTGATGTACTTCCTGCTACACTTGGACCACATCCAAGGGTTTGTGTTGTAATTGAGCGTGGGAGCCATGACATGCTGCTGTGACTTCACTCCATCCTCCTTACACTTGTTGCTGTCATCATGAGGCATGTTGAAGCTAGAAAGCAGAAAATATAATTCAATAAAACACGGTTAGAAATGAGTGTGATAAAGAGAAAGGGAACTGGGGTTAAAGTGGTTCTGCTGAGGTTTTGTAGGAAGTTGGATGATCCTGCACAGGGCCATCGACTTCTCTTATTACTTTTTCTCATAGAAGCAAATGCCAACATTGTAACATAGTATTGATTCCACATCTCCACATTTCAGATCTACAGCTCTGTTCCCACTGTTTCTTGTGGGTCAAGCTTTGAGAAGCTAATTTGTGGTTGCCTCTGAAAATAACGGAGCATATGTAATTTCTACCGGTGGGGATTTGGAGAGAACCCAGTCTGATAGGGAGTTATGTGAAAAACCAGCAAGATATTTTAGATGGGAAAACCGGAGGGAACACATTCAAGCCATTGCAGGGTATACAAAATGATCCGTGTTGATTGGTGTCAACTACTAAGCCTCCCTTCTTACACTTGGCCAAATAATAAGTGAGCTTTGCCACCAAGCCTTCAATCATGTTTTCACTGGTTGGTGGGGATAAAGGTGGAATTCAATAATCCAGCTCTTTGTTTGGTGGTAAGAATGAGCATTTGTTTAAGATGATGAAGGCTGTCAGTCTTACTCTATAGAAGGCTTAAAACTGCAGCTCAGGCTAACAAAAAAAGTTTGGACAAACAGTTTGCTGAAAATAAAACTAAAAAGAGGCTGTATTTTAATTTGGATCGTGTCTCATTTCCATCCTAAAATGAGGAACTGACTGAACACAAAAGCATCATCAAAGATTAGTCCACCCATTTATCAGCTATAGCCACTTATCCTCGCAGGTTCACATGTAGACTGCCAGTAAACCACAGGACTAATCAAATATTGGGGAAAAAATCTAAATCTGACAAAACAGTTTGTTTCTCAAGCTCAGCCAGATTGGATAGAGAGACATTAAATCATGCCAGAAATGTCCAATTAGATTAGGACTTTGACTAGGTTAATTAAACATGTATGTAATATGATTGGATATGAAGCGGGGCATACACTATACGATTTTTTTTCGGGCCGATTCTCTAGTCGTGCGAGAATTTTTTCGATCGGGCCGAATTTCAGCCTCGTTTGTGCATCCTGTGTCATATAGTATAGGGGGTACCAAGGGCAGATTAGCCACTCACGACCACTTCCTGATCAGGAATCTAAGGTCGAGAGAAAACCAAACATGTTTGAAATTCAGTCGGCCCTCGTGAGGTTTTCGTGAGCAAATCCTTCTGTTTAAGCAGAGTTACGAGCGTCTAGGATCCGATTTAACAGAACCTTGTGTAAACAAGGGAGTTCTTCTTCTTCTTCATCCAGAGTGAAGAGTCAGACTAGCAGCAACTCTCGGCACTGAGTCCGACATTTGATATTTGGACATATAGTGTGAGGAGTTAGATCGCATCAGAGCATCTGGCCATACAGTGTAAGAACATACATCGTGAGCAGTGAAATTTTAAACCGTTTGGTTTTGTCGTACAGTTTGAGCTGTAGCTGAGTACAGTGATTGCAACTATTGTACTGTGTCGGCCTGGCTTAACGTCCTTTATCTTGCAATCAACTCTGATCTGCTGTCCGTAATAAAGAAAAACATCCCCACGGTCTGATATTAGGTTATCCCATTCCCACAATCTTTTTCTGGTCTCTTCTTCCATAAGTTTTTGGCGCCCCTTCTATATTTGTAGCAAAGAAAAAAATCTCTTTTGGCAATCTTTCACCACTGGTTTTCACAAATCTGCAGAGGCCTGCCATACTTACACATGGCCCAGTTCATGGGCAATGGTGAAAGCAGTGCTGAGCCCATTGTCCTCACTGATGCTGCAGCTCCTGTATGGGTCACACACAGTCCCCAACTCTGCGAGGCCTACATAAACCAAAATCAAGTCAGTTTTTCTGCAGGATGCCACCAACGCACGTATTCCTGATAGAAAAGGTCTGCTTACCTAACGTGTCACACTTGTCCCTCGCTCTGCAGATGTCTTGCCTGTGGTGAAAGATGAAGATAACAGGCCATGGTAAAAGACGCTGCATAATACGAAGAACCCTTCCCAAGTCTTTGATCAGCCTCTCGTTTCACATACTCAACCTCAAGTTCACTGGGTATTTGGATTTTTTAGAGACTTAAAAGCATGTTTAGGCCAGGGAGAAAGCAAATAATTTCCTTGCACCTGGTGATAAGGATGGCGGTGTCATGATGGGAGGGGTGGTTATCGTCCAGGACATTCTGGCTCTGCTGCCAGATGCAGAAGTTCTTTAAAGTGGCCTGTGCGTTAAATGAAATAGCTGGACCATCCTGATAAACGTAAAAGGGAGGGAAAAAAAACAATGGAAATGGTTTCAATTCCAGAAACAAACAGGTAATAATGAAGAAAAAACCCAACTTACCAACTCGCTGTTGAGGATCACCAACTTAACAATCACAATGTTAATTAGGTTGCCAATGCTTGGGTCCTTATAGATGGAAGAGACCTGAATAAAAGAGAAAAAAAGCATCATAAGCTGCAATCTCTTTTGTAAACCCTCTGCCCCTGCAAGAAATCACTCAATCACAGAATTCTCCCTCCACCAGGACAATAAAAACACATAAAAAAAGTTCAATCCACATGTAAAATTAGGATCTTTGGCAAGAATTTAAATTTGAGGTAAGATCTCACTAAAGTTTATTTGTTCTGCTAATAAAAATGGGCAGAGATGTTGTTCTGCAAATCAAACATAGTTGTGCTGTTATAAACCTTCAGTAGTATTTGTAAGAATAAATGTGGTTACAAAGTATAAACTCTGCAAGGATAATTGCAATTCCCATTCTTAGACTTTCCATCAATAAATAATCTTTAAATTCAGGAATCAATTTCCATCTGTTTGTTGCACTATTTTGTGGAAATAACATTTAAAATTCAAAACACAAATTGTGCTTAAGCTTGTAGTTTTAATGAATCAAGGTGTAAGACAGTCACACTTACTATTGACATCAACGTGAGTATGTAGTGCTGCAGGTTGCTGCCGTGATGCTCCACCATTTTGCTGTCGGCGACCAGCATAACTTCAACAAAGCGCGGGTAGGAGAGGAAGCGCTTTGATCTCCTGTGAGGTCCTGAGTCACCACTGCTATCATTTGACGGTCTGCTGCTGGCAAGGCCGCGCTCTGATCTGAGCCAAGTGCTACTGGCCAGACTGGCGCTCAGTGATCCCAGGTCTCTGAGTATACCAGCGCCGACCAGAGGGGCCGCACTGGGAACGGGGGCTGGCCTCTTCCTTGCCCTCTGCCTCTTATGCCTGTGTTTGTGTCCTAAAGTTAAGAATCCAGAGGGAATGAGGTATGGGTAAATAAACACAGATGTAAATGCTGAATGCATGCAGATTCATTCATCTATTTTAAAAAAGACACAAATATACAGACAAAAGATATAAAAAAAATAAAAATAAATGTTTTTGATGAGGATGTGGTTAGATTTGCGGTTGGGTCTTTAAAGCTTTAAATGAATGCAAACTGTCGCCTGCAAAGAGGAGGCCATCATTTCACATGTCTGCAATCTGAAACCATTATGTTTGCTTCTGCTTACGCTGCCTGAAGTCCCATTATTTATCCTTTTTTTCACTTTGGAAAGAGGGAGAAAAGGGGGCAGTGAGTTCAGGCTAGGTAAAACCAGACACTAAGACACAGAACATCACTTCACACTGAAAGCATGTCCTCACAAAGACGTTTAATCTAAAAAAAACAAAAAACAAAAAACTACAAAACTTTGGGTGCAGTGGATCACTTAATGCTAAAAACTAGAATTTCCTTTGTCTTTTGGTGATGAGAAAATATACTTAGAAATTCAACAAGACAGCTGTGGATTTAACTGTTTTATATTTAACCAACAACCCTTAACTAATAATTTGGGAACAATCTGTTGATAATAATAGAAATGTGTTAAGGTAAAAGCTTTTCTTTGTGATAGACAATTAAAACAACCCAAGTTATACTTTTTTTATAATGTCTATAAATCTAACCCATTGATTTGTCTCTGTAATGTGCAGAAATCTTACAGGCAGAAATACTTTTGCAGCCTAAATCACTTCTAGTTTCATGTGGCTTATTGGTCAGATCTGCTCTCCCTCTGGCTATGTTTTCATACATCCTCACTCATGCTGTGCGACAGGAATCAAAAGAGAAACACACACGCACATAAATATTTACATAGACTGTGACACCAAACAGCTGCACAACAATCTGCAGTGGACAAAAGCAAAAATATTTGGACATTTATTCTCTTGGTTTTGATTATTTGACTGTCTTAAGTTGGCATTACTTTGCTATCGTACAGTTTACACAACGTGGTCACCGAAGAGGGTCTGCCCGAACTGCTTATCAAAGAAACAGAGGAAGTACAAGAGTCAACAGGAAGTTCAGCCAGTAAACTGAGATGGGGAGATACAAGGGTGAACTTCCAAGTCATTTCTTTCTTTTTTTCCCTGTGTGAGAGTAGTAAAGCTTCCTCACTGCTGTGCAGCAGCTGCAGGAACTGCTCCATGCATGCTGTGACACAGCCAGCAGGACTTTCTCATCATGCTTTCACTTTAAACTTGCCATCTCACTCATGTATCATTCATGCTGAGCCACTATTGAAAGGAAATGTACCTTTTATGCATGCAACACAATCATAACTTTCTCCCCCATTAAGATAAGCCTTGTTTAGATTTAATAGGCACAGAACAATTATTGTAATAACTTGATAAGTGTAGCTACTGTTGCATAATCAGCTCCTGCTGCAGCTGATAGGGAAGGCTACATGTGTGGCTCAACGATTACACCTGATTATGTCTGTGGGAACCAGTTTAAAAGGTTTGCAAGCACATGAGAAAAATCCTCCACTAGCAAACCACACACATCCCATGAAAACACTTCCATGCACATAAAAATCCGCCGTATACACAGTTTTTAAACACAGCCACTGGGAGGTCCCAATCCAGCGGCAGTAAGCTTCCATGTGTTTCGCCACTGAATATGGGGAGGGACAACTGGGGCTGATATTTAGGTCAGCTGATATGTGATTTAAAACACTTAATAACTGAAATTCATTATTACTTCAGAATTAAGCTCAGAGCTCTAGAAGTTTAAGTTATGGTTGCATCTATGCACCATCGGTAGAATAGTTTATCAAAATTCGAATCCTGGAGCCCAGCACACCTGAAGTGTCACAGGCTGAGGTGTCTTCAGATGTGTGATTCCCGGATGAAAGTTTCCTGTATACGATATGAGGTTTTGTGTGTTCCTCTTCATAGTGTTCCCCTTGGTAGCTGTGCAGGGGTTCCACAAAATACTCCCCGTCAGGAGACCTGAAAGTGCCAAACTGCAAAGGACAGAAAGAAAACTCACAGTTAGAGCACATATTACAAAAAATAATACAAAAATAATATATCAAATCTTGGGCTTTCCCTATTACTGCTTATTATTGAATCATAAATGTTACAGCAGACTATGTGACAGATTACGGGGATTTAGCATAAGTGACTGACTATTATATGATCTAAACAAAATTTCAAAAAGTTATTGCTGCTCCTTTAAGACACGTTTGTAGTCTCTTTTGATGGGATTTTAAACAAATATAGCTGAGTATCATCAGTATAATTGTTTCTGTTATCCGGTCTAAATGGAAAACAACAGCTGCATTTTGACATCTTACACTTGTTAGTTTGCGCAGTTAAAATGATCCATGACATACTGGAAACTGACAAGTTAGAAACGATTGGAGGACTGCAACCATGGATAATTTAATAACAAGTGTCTGTAGATAGAAATTGTTTTTTTTCTATTTAGGACCCTTGATCCTGTTTGTTTTTAAATAAAGACAGAGCCTCTTGTAGGACCCATCTGTACAATAAATGATATTGCCTTTAAAGGGATCTGGTCACACACCATGGTGAATAAATTTCAATGTTAGCTTCTTACTCAGGTTATAAACAAAGGTCTTCTGATTACAATATTGCAACCTGCTGATTATTTTATGTCATTTTTGTGTTCTAATTTTTGTGGTCATTTTTTGTTTCTACACAAAGCACTGTGTGTACATTTACCTAAAAAACACCACATGATTAAAGGACACCAGGAAGAGAGCAATGAAACTGAGTGAGTCAGCAATGCAGAGTAGAGGTGCAAAATTAATGAGGAAAAGTCCAAGATAAGTGTGAAAGAGCACAAATTACTTGATGCCAAAAGGGGTGTGAAACAAATATCCCTAAGAATCCAATAGGACTGCTGGTGAACAATAAAAATGGAGATAAACTGCACTAGCATTGAGATTTCTCTGCCAGGTTGATGGATTTATGAATACACAGCTTTACTAATAATAATACTAGTAATAGCAATGGAATACTTAGACTCCCATTTACACTGATGGAAATTAAGAGCAGTATGTAATGGTTACTATATTTGTCGTTATTCAAATTTCCAGATGCTGATGGGTGCACAACAATAAGGCATAAACATAAGGAAGCAGCAAGTAAGGCAATTTTATTTGAAATTTTGAAAATTTGAAATTTTGTTATAGTACTTTATAATTAATTTATGGTGCATAAAGCAAAGGTGTTGCAGCCACACTACGCTGTCTTAATCGTCTTTTGCCTTTTGCACTACTCCAACAGGAGATCCATTCTAGGTGCGGGAGACCAGCTAAGCTTTTATCCTGTGCCTCCTCAAACCAACCCTGCTAGAAAAGCCAAGCATCACATTTCAGACAAGCACATGACCATGTGTGATGCTCAAAGATTGGGCATACTATGGAACCGTAGAAACGTGTCTAAACTAGTCTAACTCTGCCATTTCTCATGCAGTGCCACATGACGGCTGGCAGTGGACCCACACCCAGCAGTGATTGTCAGAGTATCCAGTCAGAAACACTTACATGAATGGTCTGCAGAGTTAGCTATATACTTTTAACGTCTTTAAAAGCTTTTTAAAACGTTCTTGTGTTTTTTTAAACTTTATCAATCTAACATTTCTAAACACACAAAAATCAAACATCACTGTCACACTGAAGAAAATATTTTATACGTATGGTTAAAATGACAATTCTAAAGACTGGACAGACAACAGGGGTTTTGACTGATGGGAATTTGCCTCTATTCTCCAATAGTGGTATAAGTTTGCTTATTTAAGAATCAAATATGGAAATTCCGTTTTTACAGTTCGATGAAAGTTTGCGTGCATGTGCGAATAATCATCGAAGGAATTTAAGCAAATCTGGGATGTCGATCAGGAAAGGCCTCTGAATGCAGGCAAATCTCTGAAACTCTTTTTTTTTTTTTTGTATGTAGATCACAGGACACCTTTAGCGTGACTGGGCAACATAGATCATTACAATGTTCCAGATAAGCTTACATGGCAAACCACTGGTGCGTTTGAATTGTTGCTCATTTGTTACGGACAGCCATCACAGCAAGTCATGGGGGAAAGACTGATATAGTGTAATTATGTCTGCCTCAAGTCATAAAAATCACTCGCTGAAAAGAAACATGATGCTTTTCCATGTGTACACTGTTAAATTGTACCAGTTGCATTAAGAAGTTGCCTTACTGGTAAACAGATTCCATCTATGTTTAATGTAACTTAAATATAAATCCACTTTTTCCATGAAGGCCTCAATTTGTTGGAAACTGTTAAAACTAATAAAATTAATGATTGGGAACCGCAACACATGTCAGGAATATAGCTTTAGAGAAGTTTAAAGCTGAGATGACACTTTTGGACAGGTGAAAGAGCCTGAAGGAGGAAAGCTTATTAAAGAGGTCAGCAAATCTGTTGGACTGGCCAATAGAAGTTTTTATAAAGAGAAATAGCCCAAATGGTTTTAACATCTCTGGAGGAGCTGCTGGAATCCACAGCTCAGGAGGGGGTGGGGATATCTCTTGACAGGAAAACCTCCCTGCAAGAGTGATAGGAATAAATCCATGGCTGAGAGGAAAGAAGCAGAACAGGTGGACAAGATGTCCCTGTCAGACGAGATTAAAATGCAACTTTTGGCCTGCATGTGCAAAACACCTATTATAAAGCATGGTGGTAGTATCATCATGCACTGGGGATGTTTGGGGTTTTGTTTGTTTTGGCAGTAAAATGGAAGCTGGGTGGTGTCAAAAACACAGATCAATTCTAATACAAATCCTCCTAGAGTCTCCAAGAGCTTTTAGGGTTTTCAACTTCCTGTGGGAGAACAAGCCTAAACATACGGACAGAGTTTTAACAGAAATGATTTAGATCAAGGCATACTAATATGTTAGAATAAAAGTCCAGGTCCACATTCAACTGAGGGCCAGTAGTGGGACTTTAAAATTTTTTTTTATGGAACCGCTAATGTACATCGAACTTCATGTTACTTTGAAGACTTTTGCAAATGCAGCGAAAGATGGTCTGACAAAGATTTAAGTCAGAGAGGCTGAAAGCAAATTCATGCCAAGCTTTATTTATTAAAAGTGAACTTTTTTGCTTTTTAATCTGATAAAAGGCATCTATTATGGTAAAACACTCTTTTTTTAATTAATATACTTTAAAAGGAACTTGGGCAAATTTGGATCTTTTGGAGCTGTTTCTATGAATTAAACTCTGAGTGCACTTTTGATCCCTAACAAAACTCATGCTTCAGCAGCCCTGGGATTTTGTGTGTGTTGGAGGAGGGGAGAGGGAAGTCGTGATGACGTTAGCGCCGATCGTGCTTTGGCTGGTCAACACTGCGTACAGACGTCACAGACAGCCGGGAGAAGAAGCATGGAAGTGGGAATGCACTTGGCAATTCATGGCACAGTAAATCATGAAAACGCTATAAAACAGGAGCCCAGTTCCGTAAATCTGCCCCATGTATTACTTTTATAATCAAAAACGTCAAGAAAAATACGACTTATTCATCTAATAAGAGCCACCTGTGCGCACATCCTGTGCAAAGAGACTTTTGGCCGTGCGTAAAAACTCACCAGTCCGGAGCAGAGACTAATGACTGCGGCGTGTTGTGCATGGGCATTCACATGTCCTCTATAGAAGCAGTGCCTTAACTCCGTGTCCTCCTCCTCCTCCTCTTCTTCCTCCTCCCTTTCCGCATCTGTTGCAAAAGCAGTCCCGTTATCTCCTCGGGGCGCTCCAAGTATCGTCACAGTGTAAACGGGCGCAATAAATCCCGAATCCAGCGTGAGGTTGAGGTGATAGTGCTTCCCGAAAGCAGATATCCTGTAGTGGATATTTGCCGCGGCCCAGTGATCCGCTGTGCCCAGCTCTTCCAAACTCCGTCTCTTCCTTTTGAAGTGCACACCGGCTGGAAGCTTGTCACCGGCTTCATTTACTCGCACCGGTGTTACAATCTCATAAGCGGCCAACTCCTCTGGCACTGCGGGTTGGAAACATGACAGGGTGATTCATTTCAGATCCACCAGCCCAGATGTGTGCGATCATGCTTTAACTATTTTAGTTTGATTGCAAAATTAATAAAGTCGATCAGATTTCTACTTCATTCTTCATTCATTCTCCTCTTCCAGTTGCGCAATATGATCCCAAGCGTGTGAAAAAAAAAATTATAATAATAATAATGACCTACCTGTGCTTGCGCTCCGGATCAATCTCGCTGTGGATGCGACTACATTCAAGAGATCAGGGAATAGTAGGAACCCCAAGCCCCAGAGGAGCACATGCATGTTGTCCACGTTCAGAGGAGAGAGACGGGCAGCCTGTTGGTGACTCTGTGTTCCTGCGCTCACTCCGCGCCTTTCTGCCGCCGCATCTAACTCTACTACCGTCCGCTCTGGCTCAGCTGCTGCTGTCCGGCCGCTGAAGGAGTGCAGAGCTGGGAGGCGAACGCTTCACGGACTCCCTGGCGAACATGCATACTGCAGAGGGAGAGGGGTGGGTAGTGGGCTGCAGCTCCAACAGTGCGATGGCGATGCGCTCATTGAACCCGTAAAGTAGGATAGGGGCGGGATCAGATCACTAAAGGTATTCTGGCGCTTACTTTGGAGCCGCTTACTCTATATACCCCCACCTCCATCCCAGATAAGGGTGGTCTCTAACGTCCACTTTGCAATACTTGAGGCACTTTTTTCCCGCTGAGTACGCACATCATGTAGTGACCGACTGACGCATGTGGGGTTGTTTGGATAATTACACCTGACAGTCTGACAGGGCCAGCCCAAGATTAAAGAGAGCTATAAGCTGAAATTGATTTGAAAGCCCACCAGCCATCCCAACACCACCATGCGTTATTGGTTCCACATAAACAAACAAGTTACAAATTAACCCCTATTATCAAGTCAATGGTTGGCACAGTTCAGATAGGAGTTGTAGCACCCCATATTTCAATTGTGCATATATAGTGTCGGAAATAGTGTATAAATCCATGACATCCAGAACATTTGGTGGGTGCTTTAGAAAACTTTTAGTTTCTCTGATTCTAGGATTTATTAACTTTGCTATGAATGCTTGAGATGGCTCCAACCTATGGCAGCCTGAGCTATTTTTCTTCATATTTCAGATAATGATAAGAATGTCTCCCACTTGGTCAGTTTTCTGGGCAATGATACATTTGAAAACTGCAATACACCCTCCATGCCAATAGACCAGTATGCAAACCAAGGTTATTAGAATCAACACCTAACCCATATATCCTGAAAAATCTTTCAAAAACATACTTTGTGGATTCCAAGAAAGTTAAAAAACTATCCACTGGACTTTGTTTCCAAGTTTGAAAACATTTTTTTAAAGTTTCGCTTCCCATCCAAGAAGCTTTTCCAATAGAAAATACACTTTGTGTATTGATTGCAGGATCAGTATGTATACTTTGATTACAACAAATAGCATATTAGAGTTTTTGTTGGCTTTAAATGTAGAGGAAACCAACTGTAGTCTGGAAGAAGAGAACAAAAAGTGACTAGGTGCTGATTGAAATGATAAATCTTTGGATGGAGATCAACACATTTTTGCATGAGATATTATCTGTAAGCAAGCTTTTCCCAAACTGCTTAATATTGTCCCTAAGACAGATTGATTAACGACAGTGTTTTATTTAGGTTCAAAGTTTTTTTGTTCTAAAGTCTAACCTACCAGGTAACTCAATCAAAGAATTGCTGCAATTATTATTTAAAGCTGCCCTTTCACAGTATTATACTGTTGCAAAGTTATATATCATTATGCATGCAGTTATATATGACCATATAAGGAATAAAAGCACAAGGCTATTTTTGGTTCATAGCCTAATAGACTGTTCAGTAGGTTGTTCATTTGTTGAAATTCCCAGCTGTAAAAGCAAAGATGGAGCAATCAATTACAACATCAGAGTAATGAGCAGTCGCACTCAAATATTAATAGTTCAGAGTAATTCACAAAGCATTAGAAAATATGGCAAACTATATCAAATTTTGTTTCCTTAGCTTCTATGTAGGCATTGCCTATGCTTGTTTTTGTTTTTAAGGGGGAAAAAAAGAATGATGCAGAATACATGGAACTGTACCATCCAATTAATCTTGCATGCCAATTCATGTTATATCTCTTATGTCCTGAGGTCTTATGACCTTCAAGTGCTATAGTAAGATGATCCTTTCCACTTGTAAAGTGAAAATTACCAGCGCATTGTGTTAAAGTTCTTGTGTTGTGGTAGAGAAGTGCAGCATGCTGGATCCAATGATTATTCTAACCTGCTGTGCATTGGGCATCCAATGCAATGACTGACTTAGTGAGACTCTGACAAAATCAAAATCAAATGCAAAAGTCACAAGTTTAAATGGTAATAAAAAAAAAAAAATAAAAAAAAAAAAAAATATATATATATATATATATATATATATATATATATATATATATATATATATATATATACAGTCACCGGCCACTTTATTAGGTACCCCATGCTAGTAACGGGTTGGACCCCCTTTTGCCTTCAGAACTGCCTCAATTCTTCAAGGCATAGATTCAACAAGGTGCTGGAGGCATTCCTCAGGGAGTTTGGTCCATATTGACATGATGGCATCACACAGTTGCCGCAGATTTGTCGGCTGCACATCCATGATGCGAATCTCCCGTTCCACCACATCCCAAAGATGCTCTATTGGATTGAGATCTGGTGACTGTGGAGGCAATTTGAGTACAGTGAACTCATTGTCATGTTCAAGAAACCAGTCTGAAATGATTCCAGCTTTATGACATGGCGCATTATCCTGCTGAAAGTAGCCATCAGAAGTTGGGTACATTGTGGTCATAAAGGGATGGACATGGTCAGCAACAATACTCAGGTAGGCTGTGGCATTGCAACGATGCTCAATTGGTACCAAGGGGCCAAAGAGTGCCAAGAAAATATTCCCCACACCATGACACCACCACCACCAGCCTGAACTGTTGATACAAGGCAGGATGGATCCATGCTTTCATGTTGTAGACGCCAAATTCTGACCCTACCATCCGAATGTCGCAGCAGAAATCGAGACTCATCAGACCAGGCAACGTTTTTCCAATCTTCTATTGTCCAATTTCGATGAGCTTGTGCAAATTGTAGCCTCAGTTTCCTGTTCTTAGCTGAAAGGAGTGGCACCCGGTGTGGTCTTCTGCTGCTGTAGCCCATCTGCCTCAAAGTTCGACGTACTGTGCGTTCAGAGATGGTCTTCTGCCCACCTTGGTTGTAACGGGTGGTTATTTGAGTCACTGTTTCCCTTCTATCAGCTCGAACCAGTCTGGCCATTCTCCTCTGACCTCTGGCATCAACAAGGCATTTCCGCCCACAGAACTGCCGCTCACTGGATGTTTTTTCTTTTTCGGACCATTCTCTGTAAACCCTAGAGATGGTTGTGCGTGAAAATCCCAGTAGATCAGCAGTTTCTGAAATACTCAGACCAGCCCTTCTGGCACCAACAATCATGCCACGTTCAAAGTCACTCAAATCACCTTTCTTCCCCATACTGATGCTCGGTTTGAACTGCAGGAGATTGTCTTGACCATGTTCACATGCCTAAATGCACTGAGTTGCCGCCATGTGATTGCCTGCTTAGAAATTAAGTGTTAACGAGCAGTTGGACAGGTGTACCTAATTAAGTGGCCGGTGAGTGTATATATACTACATGAAGGTACCTTTACAAACTGGATGGTTCCAAGCAGAATGGTACATGGTATGTTTCTGGTGAGGTGTTAACAAACTCTGTGAATGCTGGAGACAGCTGATCAGCACAGGATGGAGGATAGAGACACACATCCAGCTGATTTTGGGGGTTTCTGCTTCTCAGACTTTTCAAACTAGCTGGAAATAAATGTTGTTGTTTTTTTCTCTTTTTTAAGAAATCTTTGTTAAATTTGTTTCTGTAGTTCTGGCTGCTACTATGAAATGAGGTGGAAAACATTGCTGTATAAATGTCCTCATAAACCAAAAGTCTGCTACACTATTAGTAGACTTAGAGCAAGCGGAAAAGTGGCAGCCATCAGGCAGATTTATAATAGATTTGTAGTATAGTATAGGTCATAGTCAAAAGGGATATTCATATCTCTCATGTATTGAAGTAAACATTCCGTTTGACCATAAAAAGTCCCAAAACAATATGAAAAACCAAAATTGAAAATCTACATTAGCATCAATTTGAATGTTTTAGGGTCAGACTTTGTGATTTACTTGTTTACCTCACGTTGTCTTATTGCATGGCACGTCTTTTTCCCCCAGCTTTTATTGTCATTACACTGTCACAAGTACAGAGGAACGAAATTCAATCTCTGCATTTAACCCATCCCCCTGCCATTGTGCGGCGCTCGGGGAGCAGTGTGAGGTTAAGAGTCTTTGCTCATGGATCCAGAGCGGCAGTCTGTGGGAGTGGGGCTTGAACTAAGAATCTCTGGATTCCAAGCACAATGCCCTAACCACTAGGCCACCACTCCCCATAATCTTCCAGTACAAGTCAGAGTCATAATTTGTAGGAACAAAAACATCCCATTTTGTGCAGTTATGGCTTGATGGGCTCAATGCTTGTATAATCCTTGCAAGGTTACAGATAGAGTTTAAAAAGCATCTTTCCATCTCTCCCATTACTAGTTCTATAATGGCCAGCGATATTATTGTAAAGCATCTTTAATGTTGGCTGTGTAATTGTTTAAATACTATATATATATATATATATATATATATATATATATATATATATATATATATATATATATATATATATATATATATATTTTTTTTTTTTTTTTTTTTTTTTTGGCAATGGTAGACCAATTAGTAGTCTTCCAATGTCTGGCTTACTTTTTCAGTAAGGTCAGAGAATCTCAGATGAAAAAAAATCTTTTACATAGGACTTTTCTAAAAAAGATAAAATAAAAAATAAAATAAAAGGAGCCCTATACAATTTAAATCAATCTGAGAGCTTAATCCTCATGTTAATGCAGTTCTTTGTGGATTAGTCACATCTGGAATTTCCTCCAGCGCTCTCAGTAGAGTAGAAAACCTGACCAGAAGCTTTTTGCATGTAACACAAAGTTAGGATCACCTGGTTTTAAGCATTTTCAAAGTGACACTTTAAACTTGCCAATCATCTTATCCTTCATACGAAGGTCCTGATCTTCTTAGGTATGGAGGACCTAGAGCAGGCATGTCAAAGTCAAATACTCCAAGAGCCAAAAAAAAACAATTTGCGACAAACCGAGGGCCGAACTGGTTAAATGTTTATTTAACATATTGAAATGAAAATAGCCTATTGAACCAAGACGTAACACATTGTTTTTTTTTAAAACAAAATATTAACATCAATATTATTAATAAACTTTTGTTATATTAATATACTTATTAAGATAAATACACAAATGAAAGTGCATGGATTATAAATTAGGTTTGGACTCTGCCACCTTAGACAACCGACTTCAGCCCAACTTGGATTGTTAAAGGGGGAAAAGCAAATACCAAAACAATCCAAACATGCAAAGCACAACAAAAAATGTAAATAAAAGAAAAACACAATCATGTTTTC